AGGCACCTATTTGGATTTTGGACTCAAAGGCCTTTCTGCTTTGCTTCGCTTGGCATGCAGAAATGAAAAGGCCGCCCCTGAAATACGTATAATGTAAGCAATCAATTTTATTTAACACAAAACAACTAATACGTGTTATACGACCAGTTTTGATAAGGGTGAGCAACAAACCCCATTACCCGCTAACCCGTCCATCACCTATGAAATTTTTGCCCATTTAAACTCGCCCAATTAGTCCAAAATAAGAGATTATAAATAGACGGGTTTAATGGGCGGGGTAGCCCATTAAATGGGTTGGGTTATGGGCAAGGTATTTGGCTGTTCATACCCGGCCGTTTAAGTTTTAATTTTTAAAAAATATTTTTATTCTTCATTTAATTGATGATATTGTTTCTCATTCATCTGTTATCAAACATTCATACTTGTCTAAGCTTTTATTTTATTTTTTAGGTAAAAGTTGAAACTTTCAAAGTTTATGAGACTTTATGATTGGTGACTACTTTTATGATTTTATCATACTTTAATTGTTTGTAAATTTAAGTGAGGTTATGTGATTGAATATGGTTGATGTTATTTCATATTTGATTTGCTATTTGGCATGTAAAATTTATTAACAGCTTCATAGGATTACATATATATAATAACTATACTGAAAAAAAAAATTTTAAATAAATGGGTTACCCCGTAACCCGGCCAGCCCAAACGAGCTGCCGTGTAACCCATTTAATACAGGCTAAATGAGCTACTATCGGATTATGGGTTAGCCCATGCCTATTTATGAATAAATGGGCGGGCTATGGGGTTAGCCCACCCTACCCATTGCTCGGCCCTAAATTTCGATCCTCATCACTTTGATGAGCATCGAAAATTTATCAGGTCTAAACTTTTTATATTTGATTTGAATAGTCTAAATTTACAATATTTAATTAACTATATTTAAATGGAAAAAATTATTTTTTGAAAGAATGATAATTAAGAAATTAGCTCTATTTTGAATTCTATACATATTAAAATAATTATTTTAAATAAATAAAAATTAAAAAAAACCAAATCCAAATCATTCAAATGAGATATATGCAATTTAGATTTAATGAGTTTAGGATGCTTATCAAAATGATGAGTACTGAAACTGATTCCGTATCATACTAGCTAATCCCCTCTCCACTTTCTCTCGCATTTTCTTTCTTCTTTCCTGCTAATATTTTCTTTCCTTGATATTATTCGTGAAGTTTGGAAAAGTTCAATTCTTAGTTATTCTTAGATGTTGACGATTGTGTGAATCTTCAAGAGGGAAACGTCAGTTGGATGACGGGACAGAAGCATGTGGTGGGTCTTCATGCGACCGTTGACCGTTGACAAGACACGTCAGATCACCACTTGCTTCTTTCTTCCAATCCAATTCCGATTCCGTTCCTTGATCTACTTATAAGTTATAACCCACCCCCAGAATATGTAATTGCACGTGACTTTTTAGTTTTATGCATTATTTTTATTTTTATCATTGTTTTCTTCAGAAATCCAAAGTTACTAGCAAGTTTTTTTATGCGAAAAGAAAAATGATAATAAAAGTTTACAAAGTTATTTGTATTTTTGATTTTCTTATGTGTATCTACACATTCCCTTGATGCTCTGTCGCAAAAAGGAGCTTAATCATTTAGTTTTTTTTTTAACAATATAATTTAATAAATAAATTGAACAATACAAATTAAAAATATTAAAAATTTTCTAAATTTAGTTGAAATTGTGTTTAATTTTCAATATTTCTGCTCCATTTAATAATCCCTCACAACCTTTTTATTTGGGATTTGGTAATTTTATTTTTCTTGGAGATTCACCTAAAAATTACTTAAGCAGAATAAATTTAAGAAATTTCAAATTTCAGATTTAGTTGGAATAAATTAGTTAATTATAATAAATACAATTTGATTTTTTTAAAAATATCAATTTGTGACATTTGATTAGTTAATTTTTTTTTTTTGCCTTTCTTAGTCTCCCTGTTCTTGGTGTTCACTATTATAGGAAAAAAGATATAAAATTATATATTAATTTATAAATTAAATAATTTAATTTAAAGAAAATAATAAATATCAAAGATAAAATAAATTGATAAATATTATTTAGAATCCAATCCAATCTCTAAATAAATGCTATATTAGCCATAGGATGAAGTACTCCTCCGGTCCTAAATGTAAGACCCTTATACTAGAGTGTATAAGGGTCTTACATTTAAGACCGGAAGAGTAGCGTTCGTGCGCCCGGGTCTAGCCTCCTTTTCCCTTGTTTATATTTTTCCCGTTTCTTCATCTTTGAATACCGCGTTTCCCCCTTCACTGACTTGTAAGGAAGCAAAGTACGAACTGAACACGCATTTGATGTTATGTGCCTACAAAGATGATGTAAAAAATTCATATCCTCATATATAACAGTCAGTTTTGAAAATGTTTCAGACGGAAGGGTTGCAAGCCGTCTCATACTGTAATGCACTTCCTCGTGTTCTAATTATAAAAACTTATTTATAATTTATACATAAGGTCTTATAAATAAGACCAGAAGTATTATGTGATAAAAGTTCTTAAAATAAGTGATACTCTTATTATACTAAATATATGACTCATTTTGTAGTATAAATTATACTATAAAGGCGGAAGAGTATTAAATCTTAACTAATACTACCTCTGGTTCCAATTATAAGAATTAGTTGAGTAATTTGAAAAGATTAATGAAATAAGTTAAGTTAGTTATTTGTAATAAATAGATGTTGTTTTCTCTAAAATATCCTTGTTAATTAAATGTATTGCTAGAACTATTATTATTAGAAAGATTACCTTAGAAAAAATACATTAATATAAAGAATAAAGTAAATTGCAGTTGTATATTTATGACCAAAATAAAAATCAAACAAAATTTTATATTAAGAACTGGAGGTTGTATTTATATAAATGTTGAGTTGGACATCAAATCATATCGAATATAAAATGCTCTCTAAAACAATATTTCCCAATCAGAAAGCTTACACTCAATGCTTCGTTAAATAACCAAGTGCCACATCAATTGAGTCAGATGTAACCAATAAAATACAGTTCGATTACTTTTAGCATATTAAAAATTATGATTTTTTGGCAAAACCACTATTATGATATGTTTCATACCTAAATTACTAATATATAGGATTAAAGCGCATTGTTGTCCGACCATTATTTCTAAATGAGTTATGGATATCTTAGCAAATTTTGGAATAATTTAGCATATAATTTTTTTAAAACTAATGCTGCTTCCAATCTTTGTTGCAAGCACTTCCAACATATTTCATAATATATCATATTTTGTTTAAAATATTAGTATTTTTCATCTAGAATCCTTAACTAATTATAAATTTTTTATCTAATTATTCAAACTCCTTTAGTTAATAATTTTGTTTGGAAATAATTTTAATATTATAAAAATAACTAATTGTATTAATTTATATAAAATTATTATCAAATGCTTATATAAGGATTGAATGAATACAATGTTATTGTTTTTAATCGGCAATAAGTCAATCATGAGCATGGGCTGAAAAACCTTTTGACTCAATGTTGACATAACACTGATTTTTGGAAAAGATAACATTAAAATATATACTCCTCTAATCCTAAATATAAGATCCTCATAAGGGTCTTATATTTAGGATCAGGAGAGTATTACATTGAATGCTTAATATAAAAATTAGTTAAAGATTTAATTTCACCATAAATATAATATATCAATCTATTTTTTTTATATTTATTAATTTTTTTAAAGTGCCCCTCATGATCATTGTATACGTTAAATGGTTTTCATTTTAATACATATGATTAATAAGTGTATTTTAGAAAAAATAATACTCCTTTATTATAAATTAATAACTTAACTAACTTCTTTAATCTATACAAATTAATTAAGTAACTCTTATATTTTAGACTGGAAGTAGTATTAGGTGCTAAATTGTAACACAATTTGTTTAGACTTTAATACTTTCGATCCGACAGATATTAATCTCAAGTTGAAAATGATTTAAAGTAATTATATTAAAAAAATGTATACAGCACATCTGAAAATATTTATTAAGCAAAAAAAAAAAAACCAATTTGCTGAAAGAAAAAATATGCGTGGGGAATTAAAATCCATGAGTAGCAGGCTAACAAAAAAAAAACTGAATTTATATGTTGATATAATTTTAAATAAAAACCATAGAATCCTCCAAAACCTGGTTCTCAAACCAGGCCATTCTATGTGCGCGATGCCCCCACATTGAGATTTAATCCTAAATGGAGTCAACTTGACAATGCATCTCTGTTCCCATTATTTAAAAGGAAATGAGAGAAAGGTCTGTTCACATAGTTATAAGCTGCAGTAACATAATAAAGAAACAAGAAAGGAATCATAATGAGGATGGGTTTAGTTGCAATCATAAGGTCCAATAAAAAAAAGGGGGTTGGGTGTGAGATCATGATGGTGTTGGGAAGAGCATGCAGCCAAACCACCGCCCACCGGTTGATCGCTGTCTCACTTCTGCCGTCGCTATCTGCTCTCTCCATCTGCCCCTAGTTTTCATTCTTCTAAACTCCCTCCCTTTGCCTTTTCCTTCTAAATAAAAGCTACCTCTGCCCACTTCCATCTCTTTCTCTCCCTCTCTGTTTCAACACAGTTTCAGAAGGCGAGTCCTAGTTAGACTTTAGTTTACGTGGGGTGGAGTTTAAGTTTTCACTTGACCATTGGAATCACCCATACTTGCTTTCCAAGGGAAAAATCTCTTTGACCCTTTTCCATGCGTCAAATAAAAATTGCAACTAACCACATGCTCAACAGTGAATTGAACTTAGACCTTTTGGCTCCACGCCCCCAGCACAACACCACAAGCAATGTCAATCTCCACCACTTCTCTTCCTCTCTCTCTCCATTCATATTTTTAAAATTAATTAAACTGACAACCCCTGCCTTCCCCTATATATACCCCGGATCCTGCCACATATCCGCTACAACCAAATATCATTTGTTCTCTTGAGAAATATAGGAGAGATCATGGAAGTCCCTGTGATAGATTTCAGTAAGTTCTGTGGTGAGCAGCGCGGCGAAGCCATGGCTTTGTTGCACGAAGCTTGTGAGAAACGAGGCTTCTTTGTGGTAAAGTTTACAACAACTCTATGAAAGATCTCCTGTTTTGCATCTTCTTTGTCAACATATACATGTAGCCTCAAAACATTGCTCGTATATCTATGCAGATTGAGAACCATGGCATTGACGCCGAGTTGATGGAGAAGGTGAAGCAGCTGGTGAATACATACTACGATGAGTACCTGAAAGAAAGCTTCTACCAGTCTGAGCTGGCCAAGAGCTTGGACAAGTCAGTCTCTCTCCCTGATACAGATTGGGAAACCACCTTCTTCATCTGGCATCGTCCAACCTCCAACATCAAGGAAATCCCGAACGTCTCTGAGGAGCTCTGGTAAGTCTGGTCAACGTTCATCACTTGCATATATGGTATACACATGTCTCACACTCAAACACAAGCTGATCAGATGTAAATGCGATGGAATTGTGCAGCAAAGCAGTGGATGAATACATAGCGCAGCTAATTAAGGTGGCGGAGGCATTATCTGAACTGATGAGCGAGAATCTGGGACTGGAGAAGGATCACATAAAGAAGGCATTCTCGGGAAGTAGTAAAGGTGCCGTAGTGGGGACAAAGGTGGCAATGTACCCGCAATGTCCAAAACCAGAAGCAGTGAGAGGACTGAGAGAGCACACAGATGCAGGAGGGATAATCCTGCTGCTGCAGGATGATCAGGTGCCGGGTCTTGAGTTCTTCAGAGATGGGAAATGGGTGGAGATTCCTCCGTCCAAGAACAATGCCATATTTGTGAACATTGGAGACCAGGTGGAAGTTTTGAGCAATGGGATTTACAAGAGTGTGCTGCACAGAGTCATGGCCGAGAAGAATGGAAGCAGACTGTCGATTGCCACCTTCTATAACCCTGCTGGGGAGGCCATTATATCTCCTGCTCCCAAGCTGCTATATCCAAGTGGCTACACTTTCGGAGACTATCTCAAGCTCTATGGAAGCACCAAGTTTGGTGAGAAGGCTCCCAGGTTCGAATCCATGAAGAATACACCCAACGGCCACTAAGACCTTCTGGCCTCAGAAAAGCAGTATTATACTATCATATTATATCTGTCAATTCAGTTTCACTAATCATATGTTTCATATTGCCACAAAAAACAGAAAAAGGAAAAATGTCTTGCAGGATCAGGACATGTTTTCTTTCTTTTCTGTTTCTTTCGTTTTGGCATGAATAACGAGAAATTTTATGTACTGTTACACATACATATATATCCCCACACACACAGCCCCCCCCCCCCAAAAAAAAAATCTTTCTTCGTTGTTTGATTGAATGCGTGGTGCTAGTAAGATACCAGTAATATGGAGGGATAAGAAGTCAATTTCTTGAACTGCCTACTCGAATGATGTCATCAATCACAAAAGGGAAGATTTCGAGACTTGCGGCAACAAACAATTCTGAACTAATAATCTAATCAGTAAAGACGACACTTCATATTTACGTGCAGCGCTAAGTAAGCTACGAATAAAAATATCCACGCACTGAACTTTGGTCTTTGAATGAAAAATATACCATCATTCTCATCAATAGCGTCGCCAGCCAACTACTTTTGTCTATTTCACTTATCAATCGTGCTACTTAACAGCAACATAAAATATGAAATTTATTCTAAACTTTACTATCTTTAAATTATAACAACATTGCAAAAATATATAGAATCAATATAAGTCACTTTTTGTATGCTCTTAATTTTATTGGACCTAATCTAGTAATCCTTACCGGCCGTCTCCCGATCACCTATGTTAAGCAACTCGGAGACAGCTACATAAATTCTCAGTAGTGGCTACAAAAAAGAAAAAGAAAATATTGTAAAATCTTTTGAATATTATGATATAAAAATTATAAATATTAGTATATTTTGATTTTAATAATATATTTCTATTTCGTCGTTCAATTTATTAGAATATTTTATAATATTCTTCTAGAATAAAATACAACATGAATATAATGAATATAATATTATTTATTTTATATATTATTATTGAAAATTTTTACTTATATATTATTTAGTTCCTTCGTCTAAACTCTAAAGTGTTTTTTTTTTTTTCGGGTCAATCCAATCCTAACACTTTTCCATAGGAGATGAATATGTTTGATCCTGCGACATCCTCTATTTTAAACAGGTGCCGTATGAGCTACCATCCACACTGTTGCAAGACGTTCAAAGAATTATTGCTGCAAATGCAAATGTTGGCTGGACTGCGTTAGCTTTCCTTAATCAATAATCCCATATCCTTATTTACTTAGAATATCCCCCATTCTTTGAGAATATTCCCCATTCATTCTTGACTGTTGAGGGCCCATGCAGTGATTAGATCATTACAAACGAAACACAGATGTTTATGTGCTCAACTAACGAACCGAAATTACGCGTCATTCACCTTTCCCAACGTCTGAATCTTTTTCAGATTTCAGTTGCTTATCTGTGATCTCTTCTTTCTACTTTCGTTATTTTCCAATTTTCACATTTGACCCACTTTTTCAGCGCTTCATCATCTCCATCTTCCACCCTTCTTCCTACCGCCCCCTCCGTTTCAACACTTTTGACCTCTCAATCTTGCAAATTGAGGGTTTGTTTTTTTTTTTTGGTTATCTTTCGGCAGCCTGTGAGGAAGAAACTAAACATAGGGATACCACAAAACATTCTTTGGTCTTCTCTTTCCTTAGCTTTTTCAAATTACAGTCAGTTCCTGCCAAACAATAATCATGAAAAAAAAGAAAAGAAAAACAATGCAGGCCTTTATGAATAATACTACTTCCATCCTTAATATAAGAGTTTTTTTTACTTTCAATTTGGTTCTAAGTGTAAAACTGCAATCAACTTTTTCTTTCATACTTATCCATTTTTTTCAAAGTAATATTTGTAGTGATTATACATGTTAAATATTCCATCAAATGATAGTTCTAGCTAATACATATGATTAGTAAGGATATTCTAGAAAAAACAACATCTATTTATTACAAATAAATAACTTAATTTTTTTAATCTCTTTAAATTAGTTAACTAAATTTTATATTAAAAATCAAAGGTAGTGTAATTTAAAAGCCAATTTTGTTAAGGAGTGTTGCTTATTTCGGTATCGAGCTTTTTTCCTTTTTGGGGTAGGAAAACAGGTTTTGGCATAGAACTCTGCCTGCTAGGCTGCCACTATTGAGCCCAATTCTAACTAATTGAACCTCCACAACAAATGGAACAGCCCATACTTGTTTAAAAAAAAAAAATCCAAAAGTGAGGTTCCCTTTATTTATTTGAAGGGTTCCATATTCCATCAAATGATTATTAGCTCAATACAAGGCACAAATTCAAGTTCGACGGTGTGCCTAAAGCGTGTTGTGTATGCAGGCCGTGTGATTAACTTCTTACAAAGATATAAGAAAAACAAGAATAGTAAAAAATTAACAAAACAGTGAGTGCACACAAGAAGGATTCAAAGACCCCATCTAGGAGACTAAAGCTGTTGGACGGGACGAGAGTCTGAAGTTTACACTGGCTAACTTGAAGCAAATGATCATCAGGCCTTCATTGGATGGAAGACGACAGTTGAGTGGTTGGCAATGTGCAAACTGAACTGTCCTCCTTTTTCAGAGACATCTATCTTTGTCCCTTGCGGAGATTCCATCTCAAAATTGGACACCAATTTTGCAACTACTAGGCCCAGTATTGGCAATGCCAGTATGATGCCAGGACAACTCCTCCTTCCCACCCCAAATGGTAAGTACCTGAAATCAACCTTCCCTGCAGCCACTGCATCAGTCCCACTTTCCTCTTCCATGAACCTCTCTGGCCTGAACTCCTCTGGCTTGTCCCACCATGCTGGGTTGTTTGCCAGCCACCAAGCATTCACCACCACCTTCGACTCTTTTGGTATGTTATACCCTCCTAGTTTTGCTTCTTCGAGGTTCATGTGTGGCACCAACAGAGGAATTGGGGTGTGCAGCCTTAGTGTCTCTTTCACCACTGCTTGTAAATATGGTAGTAATTGCAGGTTTGACTCTGTCACTGGCTCTCCTTTAAGAACTCTTGAGATCTCTTCACGTATCTTGCTTTGAACCCTTGGATGGTTCACCAGCTCTGCAATTGCCCACTCCATGGACCATAAGGTCGTCTCTATTGCTGCAACGTTGATGTTCTCCACAATGTATAGCACATTTTCTTCACTAATCTCTCCCTTCATCTGTGCATCTATAATGTGGTCTATTGCGCAGCTTATCTTGTGCTTTGCCCCATTGGCAGCCATTATTTTTCTGTCAAGAAGCACATGAACATGTGAATAAACTTAAAGTATGGATATCAACAGATGCCATTACATATATAACAAGAAATGACAAGGATAAATGTTCCTATTGGTCACGTATGAATATATATTAGACCTGTTTGACATGACTACTTTTGTCAAGCGTCTGTACTCCATAGACGTATATGATAATGGAAAATGTTATATTTCATATGTAACATAGTAAATTCATGCGAGTTACCTTCTTTGCTGAACATAGTGATTGTTGAAAAATGCGAGCCTCCTGGTCTGCAAGTCCCTGCACTTATTGAGGTAGCCCTTCAAGAAAGGTCTGAGCAGAGGGATGAAGTCTCCGTAATTATACTCAAAACTCTGGGCCAAACGGCTTCTTTCAGAGTTGAATCTGGTGGCCTCAATGAACAAGGGGTCCTCCTGAGACTCAAACTTGGCGTCAAACATCATCCTGTACATGATATTATACAGCATCAATTGCAGACGCTTTCTGATCACTATCCCTCGGCTTCTCACGGCCTCGTTCGTTTTGAGGTCCCTCACAACCAAGTCCATCTCTTGTTCCCACATGTCACTGTATTGGTGGACAACCTTGTTGGTGAAAAATGGGACTGTCATGACTCTACGCATTTTGCGCCAGTGATCGCCATACACGGTGAAGACCATGTCTTGGCCATTCCCCGTGAAGATATCGAACACGACGTTTCGAGGGCGAGAACCAAACTCAACACCTTGGGAGTGAAGGACGTGGGTGGCCAGCTCAGGATCAGAGACCACCACGAGGTTCTTGGAACCAAGTTTGAGAAGGAATACGGAGCCATAGGTCTGGGACATGGAAGCCAGAAGACGGTGGTTGAGGTCATTGCCAACTTGAAGCCAATTGCCAAAGACGGGGACGGAGAGAGGGCCCGGAGGGACATTGGAGGGCTGCCTTTTGGACTGCCTGAGGAACAGGACGAGAGGAAAGATGAAAGCAGCGAGAGAGAGGAAAGATGGAGAGAACTTAATGAGGATGGCGATGAGAGCCAGCGTGATGAGAGTGAAAGAGAATGACTTGTTGATGAGAAGATGACCCATGTTTTTGGAGGGAGGGAGGGAAACTAGGAAGGAGATGAAGAGAGATGGCGGTGAGTAACTGGTTATATATGAGGAGGGGAAGGGGGGTTTGGAGGCCCATGGTTTGAGAGGAATCCAGGGGCTCTAATTCGAAATCAAGGTAGGAGAGATGGCAAGGGGGATTGGTTAGAGTAAAGGCTGGTGGAGTAGTCCAATGTTGAGCTCCTTGGTAGGTGAAGGCCAAATTGCACCATTTCGCCTGCCTGGTCAAGCCAACCCCGCTTTTTATTATATTTGTAATTCTCACCAACTCATATAAACCCAATGATCTCATCTTATTCAGTCCACACAACTCGGTCAGCCTTCTTAAAATCCCTACTCTTTGTTTTTTCCAAAAAAATTATAACCTATTGATATTAGACAGCTAATAAAAAGGTCAATCCTTACTTTGACGCAAATAATCTGTCCATGAGAAATCTCTCTCTACTCTCTCTCTTTCTGCATATACGCTAAAGCCTCCGCTCTTTTACATTATATATGGGTATATCTATTTCTAGCTCCGATATTTAATATAAGAGCTAATTAATTAATTTAAATAAATTAAAGTAATTAGTTAAATTAGTTATTTGTAATAAACAGATATTTTTTTAAAAAATACCCTAACTAATCAAATATCATTTGATGAAACATTTAATATGTGCAATTACTATAAGAATTATTTTAAAAAAATAGATAAATCTGAAAAATAAAGTAAATTATGGTATTATATTTAGAATCAAATTAAAAATTAAATTAGCTTTTATATTAAAGATCGGAAGGAGTACTTTTTTAAAAATTTGTGCTTCTTTAGAATATTTTTAGGTTTATGACTTTATCCGCACAAGACTTGCGCGGGACACCTCTAGCGAACTCATGAACCAATCATCAAATATAAATCATTCAACCAAAGATCGATATATAGTTCATTTTGAAAGCCTTTTTTTTTTTTTTGACCAGCTATTTTGAAAGCCAATTAGCACACCCGCGCAGCAAGACAATTAGGAATAGTGGTATGAGACTAAAAAAAAGAAAAATTAATCATGAAGTGCTTATAGTTTATCATGTCATTTATACTCTAATTAATTACAATATAATAACTCTTCACATGTGTTTTATTTTTCTTTTGCATTTTCTCTCCATATTTAATGGGGACTACAAATGATTTGGCCCCAGAAAAGCATGTAGTAATTTCTGGGTCCCCTAAGCCCTCAGTGAAGCGAGATGGTGGGCACAACACATTTTGAGAGAGCTGAGTTTAATGGCGTTATAATAAGGGGGAAAAGCCATGTAACTTTTCCGAGATATGTTCATAATTTTGATTGATAGTTGGAAATCTTAACACTTTTCACAAGCGTCTTTCTTCTTTTAAGCAAGGGCCTACATTAATTTGTTTTTGTTTTTCTTTTCTTTCCATACAGATCTTCATGTTCCCTTTCGTTTGCTCTCCCCTTGTGACTAGAGGTAATTCACTATGTTTTGTGGAAGAAAAACAGAGGAAAAGCGGGTCGGTAGTATCTTAAGCTATAACATCAAGAAGTTGGATATAATAATATCAGTTGTAGGAAACAAATGACGGAGTTTGAGGATTATGTCAATGGTTTGCTCAACGAGAATTATACAGTTTCGCCAAAGATTTTCTTGAAGCACAACAATTACACGCGTTGGATGAATGGGTACAAGTTGCTTAATTTAGTGGTATTCCAGTTATTCAAAACTCGCTAGCTTCAACTTTTATCTTCCCCTCGTGTGATAAGTTGAGTTATTGACGCCAAAAATTACCTTTAAAATTGCGTGTATATAACAAGTTGTTGTAGTAAATAATGAAGAAAACTAAAGCTCACAATAGATTCAACTCTTTTTTGTCCAAATGTGCTGCCTTATCACTTGCAACTAAACCTGAAGTGCCACTTGAAATTAAAAGGTGCAATTTTGCCAGTTTCATGGCGTTAGAGAGTTGTACATCTCTCCCTCCCTCTTCCTGCTTTCCTCTTGCTTACCAATTTTACATTTTGTGTGCCCGACTTTCCCATCTCATGAGAAAATGAGACTGGTGTGTTTCACGTCAATGTTCAGAATATAGACCGGTGAAAAAGTGAACAACATATTCCCAACCATGTGACAGAGTGGGAAAAAAAAGTAACCATATTCTTGTTTGTCAAGCCCATAATCATTTAAAAAGAAGGAAGAATTACAATGAGGTTCCAAGTAAAGAAAATAATTAAAACACAAGTTCTAGGAGTTGTCATTCTCACTATAAGACTTGTCATTATAAGCTGTTGAGATTGGTATTTAGATCTTTTAATAATTATTTCTCTTTTATGAGACTTGATTGTAATTCTTCCTGAAAAGAACCTCCTTTGTGCTTCCCGAGATAAAATAAGTTTATCCAAACATTCTCTTAGCCTTGCCCATCGCCGTAACTTGCTCCCGAAACACTCTTTACTTCGACTCCCATCAAAGCTGCCTCCGCCTTCTTAACCGACTTGGCCTCCTTCGTATTGGGAATCACGGATAAATAGGACTCTGTCATCTCCACCCATTCAAATCACGCAAAGTCTCCAACTTCACTCTCAAGGGTCAGGTTAGACACGTCAGCAATTCCGTACAACATCCTGCCATGTCATCAGTTGGGAACTGACGGTCACACACACAACTCAACGCCTCCTATTATCCATGACAAATTTGGTAATATCTTTCTTCTTCCTCACAGATTTCAGGTGGAGGGATTAAATTTCTTTTTTCGCAAACTCAATTGGAGTAAAAACTGGGCATTGAAATAGAAACAGGATGAGTTACTGAAGATTCTATCCTATCGTCGTCTATATCCTTGCTCTATGCTTAATATCCTATCCTATTGTTACATCTTTTCCTTTCTGTGCCTTCCACGCAAGTGTATTTTGAGTGACTTTTTTTTTTTGGGGAAAAAATTGTTTTTGGAGTAACAACATTCAGGATAAACAAAATATGGTCTATGTTTCAGTTTATGAGTGATGGGCTACGTGTTTTGCTGCAGACCGTACTGATGTCTGATTGTATGCTTTCGCGTTCAGATGGAGAAGGACGAAAGGAAGCATTCCAATATGACTCTGGCTCAAAGGGAGCATCATTGATAGAGAATTGAGATTGGGAAAATCTGGAAAAACAAAAGATATTACGCCTTCTCACATCAGGTCTTCTTCAATCTTCCATCCTCATCAATCATCATCCTCCCATTTCAACATTCCATCCCTCTGCACCATCCATCCAAAGACTCTGTTTCGTTATTTTACTGGTGTCATTTCTACTCATCTTGCTATGAAAATTATCATCACTGATATTAGCAATTCGCGTTCCAGCTTAATTGTAATTTCTTCTGTATTCTTGGAAGGTATATCTACATTGTATTCGGTGTTCTTGTTCAACTTTTATTTGAGCCCCGTTCAGTTCGGCAAGGTGGTGGAAAAAATGAGAAAAAAAATTTATTGCACAAAGGACCAGACATACCATATTTATTTTGTCTCTGTTCATTATTCAGCAATGTGAGAATGAAGGGAAAATTGGTTTTAAAAAATCCCTATTTAAAAGTTTAATATAAGCGCAGCATATCTTCCGCTGTACGTAATATATCTTCCGCTGTATGTAAATGACTTCCGTATTAATGATTGTCACACATAATTGATGATATGTTGTACATAACAAAAGATATGTTATATTTATATATCATAATTGTAATCGTTTAAATTTAGATTTTTTTAGCAAATTAAATTTTCAAACTGAAATTTTTTACCAAATTTTCTAAACGCGAATGTTTTTTTTTATTATTTTTTATTTAGGCGTGTATAGGTCAATTTATTTTCATGTAAAAGTCACCTTTTCATTCTACTATCTTCTGGATCCTGCTCCGTTCCGCGTATGAAACAAGTGACATGACCCATTCATTTGGCATGGACTAGGATGTACCGAATTTCGTGTCTCTGTTTCACAAGGTTTGATTGAGCAAGTTCTACACTGCAATTATTCAACAAGCAAACTCCATGATTGATGAACAACAGGTCATGAATAGTATTGTGTCTCATAAATTCATAATTTGTGGATATGTAAGAGTAGAATGTCCATTTGGCAAAATGGCACTGTTGCGTGTAGCATCATCCTATACGAAGTTATCAAGTTGATAAGATGTTACTACTTCTAGTTTTTAATATAAGAATTAGTTTGATTTTTAATTTAGTCTTAAATATAATACTACCTCTGGTTTTTAATATAAGAGCTCATTTAACTTTTATTTTGGTCCTAAATATAATACCTTCATCTTCTTTGTCTTTCATATTTATCCATTTTTTCCTAAGGCAGTCCTTCTAATAATAGTAGTTCTATCTAATATACTTGATTGGCAAGGATATTTTAGAAAAGATAACACCTATTTATTACAAATAACTAATTTAGCTTACTTCTTTAATTTATTCAAATTAGTCAACAAACTCTTATATTTATGACCAAATGTAATACCACAATTAGGGTGGAAACAGACCAGCGGCCTGTTAGAAGCCTATGGCTTGACTTGCATTTGACCTGGCCTGATCTGTTTCTAAAAAAAAACAGGCCTAGCCCTTTTTGAAAGCCCTTTTAGCTTAATAGATTAGGTTTAGGCTCTCTGAAAAGCCTATTAGGCCCAATTTACAATTATAATATATGAAAAACTTAATTAATGCTATTATTGTTAATATGCTCTTTTAATTTATTTTTTAATTTTAATACATAGTTAATGACTTAATATTTTTTTGGGTTTTGAGGTTTAATTGACAAGTGAAAATAAAGATATAATTTAAAATAATAATATCAATAAATAATGTGATCTTTAAATTTTCATAATATAGATAAAATAGGAAAGAAAATTTTTATTCCAAGAGTGATAAATTAATTAACAGATATATATTATGGTAATCAAATTATGATACCCTCTTTATTCATTGTAAAATTAATCATTTTTTCTTCCTATTTATTTGTCTTGATTTTAATTTTAATTTTGTATTTAAACACAATCTTGTCCCAATTTTTAATAGACAATTGCAACTAGCTTTCAATAATATCCTTGTTAATTGTAATTAAGATTTAAAATGTGACACTAATATTTAAATAAAAGGCAGGACTAAAAATATAAGTATTATGTAGGCTTCTTTTGTATCACCATGTAATTTGAATTTTTTTTTTTTCAAAAGACAAGTTTTTTAACAGGTTTTAGGCCAAACCTTTATACAAGTCAGGTTCAGTCTAAAGAATAAGCCTGTAACAGGCCATAGGTCAGGCTCAGGCTGATATACTACAAAATAGGCCTGGCCTGTTAAGAGTAAGGCCTGCCTTGGCCTATTTTTACCTTTAACAACAATTTATTTTGTTTCTCATATTTATTCACTTTTTTCAAAATAGTCCTTGTAGTAGTTGCATATATTAAAAGTTCAATCAAATGATAGTTTTAACTAATACATGATTAATAAGGATATATTAGAGAATACAACACCTAATTATTATAAATGACTAACTCAACAATCTTTTTTAATCTACTCAAATTAGTCAATTAGTTTTTATATTAAAAATCAGGGAGTATAATATCACTGTTCCGGGAGGAGACAGTTATATTAGTTTAACGAAGGGCATCAAACGAATTTAGCCGCTTGAAGAAGTTCAGTAAATCGTGAAGTGCGTAGATTATATGTATTTTTGTTCCATAAGTTGCAGCAAGGAAATATTTGCTTGGCCTTTATGATACTACTGTACGTACAAATGGGTAAAAATAAATGAGGGAAAATTTCTTTGAATTTCAAGCTATTCAACTAGGATATTAAAAGTGGGTCCAAAAAATCAAAATGGTCATGATAAAGAGAACATCAGAAGAGATAGGCGTTAAGTACATTTAATGAATAATGAAACAGATCCTGGACGGGAAAGGGAGGAGCCCGTAAATACGAGCAATAATACACAATAACAGTGTCATCCAGCGAGTCAAGATTCCGTTCACATCTCTCTATCTATTTCACCCACAAAACCACACGGAGTTAAAAGCTCATCCCCACTGCATCTGCATATCACCCAAAGGGCTCCAAATCAAACTCAATTCGCCGCCTCCAAACTCCAAAACAAGTAAAATGGGAGTGAGCAACAACATCACCGCCGTCCTCAACTTCATCGCCTTCCTCGCTTCCATCCCCATCATCGCCGCCGGCATTTGGCTCGCCCAGAACCCCGACAACGAGTGCATCCGTAACTTCCGTTGGCCCATCGTCATCCTCGGCATCCTCGTCCTCCTCGTTTCCCTCGCCGGCTTCGTCGGTGCCTACTGGAACAAGCAGGGCCTCCTCGCTCTATACCTATTCTCCATGGCCCTCCTCATCGTCATCCTCCTCATCCTCCTCATTTTCGCCTTCGTCGTCACTCGACCCGACGGCACCTACCACGTTCCCGGCAGAGCCTACGAAGAATCCAGGCTCGACGGCTTCTCCGCCTGGCTGAGGGACCATATCACCAGTTCTGGGAGTTGGGCCAAGATCAGATCTTGTTTGGCTGATTCGGATACATGCATTAAGCTCGCCCAGGAATATATCACTGCCGACCAGTTCTTCAATTCTCATCTCTCTTCTTTACAGGTCCGTACGCATCACAATTAACACTCGTCTCTTGTTCTCTTCTACTCTGTTTTCTTCTCTGAATCTCTGTGCTTGGCTTGACGAAAAGGAGAATTAGTGATGTCCTTTGCTCTCTCTCTCTCTTCTCTCTCTCTCTCTCTGCTTTTTTTTTTTTTTGAAACGGTGATGCCTAGGAGTTTCTTCGTTGACTTTTCTGAACACTGCATCCTGTCAGGATCTGTTTGGTAGCATGAAGAATTTTAAAACAGGGCTCTACCTTAATCATGGCCGACATGAGCCCGATCTTTTGCACTGCAATATTATTTACTGGGATTTATGTGATGTATTTTGAATCTGGCATATGGCTCAGACAAAGAACATTAAGCAGTATAATGGAATTGGCAGGCGAGGATGTTTTTGTTTTTTTGGTAAAGGCAGGGAAGGATGTTGATCCGTAACAACAGAGCCCAGTGAGTGAGTGTCACTTGAGTTAGTGCCCGTGATGGGTTTCAGTGGGGCCTAGTTTTCTGTCTTAACTCAATCCACACCACACACCCAGAACTAGAGTGGGCTTAATTATTATTAGCGTTAAATGGAGAGCTTAGGACGCGGGACACGCTATAATGTGACCTTCCACTAGCAGAAGAAGATAATTTTCAAAAGATTATGATGGCTCAAATGGGAATCATGGGAAGACGACATTAATTAGAGACATCCCTTCCTCGGAACAGGATTCTAGCCAGAAAAGAAATCATGCAGATTTAAAATAGACACGCTAGCTGACAATAGGTTAAAGTGAATATTTTTGTCGTTATTATTGCAAATGATAAAAGAAAGCCGGCCAATTGTTAGTGCCAGCTAATTAAAGAGTGCTTGGTTGGTTGGTGATAATGCAGTCAGGGTGTTGCAAGCCTCCATCGGTATGTGGGTACAGCTACGTGAGCCCCATAATGTGGGTGAACCCGGCGAATCCCACGGCGGACCCGGACTGCTACATGTGGAGCAACGATCAGAACCAGCTGTGTTACAACTGCAACGCGTGCAAGGCAGGGCTGCTGGGCAACCTCCGGAAAGAGTGGAGGAAGGCGAACGTGATACTGATAGTGGCGGTGGTGGTGCTCATATTTGTGTACGTGATAGCCTGCAGCGCCTTCAAGAACGCCCAAACGGAGGAGCTCTTCGACCGCTACAAGCGGGGTTGGGTTTAACTTTCCCAAACACCCCCTAATGTACATCCTCACATGTTTTCTTTTCTATCCGCATCTCAATGTGTTCCCAATAACGCTTGCTGTAGTTAAGTTTCCCACTTTACTACCAAGGTGTACTCTGTCGATTCCCGGCTCACAAATATTGTACCATTTATTGATTATTGATTTTTAATGCACACGAGCTCGCTTATGGCCAGGAATTACATCAGCTAAACAAAATGAATGAATGAATGAAAGAAAGAAAGACATGTATGTAATGAACAGTAAGAGAGGGAGGTATGGAAAATAGTGGGATGGAGACAAAGGAGGAGATGATCAAGTAATTAATGGAGGGAGGGGCACATGGAAGGGGAGGCAGGTGGGGGAGCAACTGAGCACCGACCCCTATCAGATTGAAGCTATGCCTTTTATTTGATGTTTGTGCCTCCCTCACATCTTATCCAGTACAACTCTTCAACGTCCCATCACTTGCATTAGCCTCGTGTGACGGGATTGCTTGCGCTGATCCATGTCTAATGGCACTTCCCACTCGCTTAATTTGCATCATCACATGTTACTGTGAACCAAAGACGATGAGTTCTCGCTTGAACGCTGTAAAATTCAAAATTTTAATTATCAATTATCTGTATTCCAAATGGATGGTATGGACTCATGTTAAGCAGTGTTATGATGTTGGAGAAGGATGAAAACAAAATAGGAGGTGGCTTTTTTTTTTGCTACAATATAGGAGGTGGCTTTGGACGCAGAATCTCAAGCATCAACTTGAATGGAGCCATTTCCCTGCCCAATGGATTTACTCCTACGGGCCTGAAGCCCAACACCAAACTAACAGCTCTGGGCCATGTAACTCCCGGGCCCAGCTGATCACTTCGCTTGAGTGGGACGGCGCCCCCGATTGGAATGGCGCCGCCTTACTAAACCCTAAAACCACAACCATTCGGATTTTGGGGAGTTGGCCATATCTGAAGGCCGCTGTCAACGTGTGTAATGCCAGCTCTTCGCCTTTTGTTTGTGAAGTCACATTTCCATTCCTTGCTGGGACCCCGCCCATCTTACGACCCCATCCCACTCCGTTTCCAGCTTTGTCTGCACCCCCCGATATTATATCCCCCCAAATACCCACTTATAAACCAACAAATTGTTAGCCGAGGTGATAAGTGATTAAGGAAGAGAATATAAATTTAAATTCTGAAAAATATATTTATTGAGAGATTTTTAGTCTTAAACACTCATGATCGATAAGAATTATTCTCAAGTTTAGAATAACTTTAGAATGTCCTAAATTATACCCCCCAAAAAAAATATGTAGCCACTCATGCTCTTGACTTCAGCTCATAAAATCAAAAGCTCTATGATCAATTCAACACTACTCTCTCTGCCAAACACAACTTTCATTATTTCCCTTCAATTCCGCAATGCACATGTTCATCTTCTCTTTTCTCCATTACGATTATTTTCTTTTCAGGTATCCATGTCTGAGATATTTATGCCAAACGACACTACTATATGATGATGAGCTTTCTAAAAAATACTCCTATGGTCCTTAATATAAAATCTATTCAACTAATTTGATTAAATTAAAAAAGTTAAATAAGTTAGTTAGTTATAAAAAAATAGAACATGCTTTTTTCTAAAACACCATAATCATATTCCTCAATATCCATTCTCTTACTTGATAATGGTTAGGAGAGTATCAATAAGAATAATTTAAAAAAAATTAATAAATATAAAAAATAAATCTTATATTTAGAATCAAAATCAACTCAATAATTAAATCATATATAAACATGCTGTGGAGTATAACTAGAGCCGGGAATCAGGGCCGGCCCGGCCCTTCAGGGCTGGCGGGCTTAAAAGGGCCGGCCCTCCAGGGCTAGAATTTTAAAAATATCCCAATTTGCTAGGCCCGGCCCTTAAGCTACAGGGCCAGGGCCGGCCCGCGGGCTTTTGGCCCGTTTAAGAAAAAATACTATTTTTTATATTTATCATATTTTTTATAAAAATAAATCAATGAAATTATTAATAAAAGACATAAATATGAATAAAATTAAGTCACATATAAAATATCATCATATATAAATATTCATCAACATCTAAAACATTCATTAACAAGATAACAACATCTAAAAGCTTTATCTATAATGCAATTGTGCAATAAATGAACACTATTATTAATCTTTTGAAACTTCATCATCACTATAATTAATTACTTTTTTTCATAAGTATACTTTTCTTTCGTAACAAAAATATCGAGTTTTTCTTCTTTATAAGAATTTTATTTTTAAATTTTGCAATCTAACTATTATTTTACTTTAATGTGAGAAACATTGCTGTTGAAACTCATGAATTTCTAATTCAAATTATAGAATCACAAGTTATATAAGTATAAAAATATTCTATTATCAAATATATATATAGTTTAAAAATATCAACGCATATAATATAAATCAAATCATTATTAAAGTCCAAATTAACCCATTTTTTAAAAATTTAATTGGATAAATTATTATCTAAAACTAAATTTACTTTTAAAATGATAATAATAACTAAATATTTGAAATATTATTAACAATGTAAAAAATTAATAACATTAATATTATATAAAAAAATTTAAAAAATAAAAAAATATAAAAGGGCTTAAAAGGGCCGGCCTGTGGCCCTCCAGGGCCGGCCCGTGGCCCTCCAGGGCCGGCCCTTTTAAGCCCTCGGCCCTCCAGGGCCAGCCCTCCAGGGCTTATGTTTCATTTTAAGAGAAAAATATCAAGCCCGGCCCTCATAATTTCAGGATCTAAAAGGGCCGGCCTGACGGGCTCGGCCCGTTTTCCCGGCTCTAAGTATAACGTATGGAAAGCTGTTAAATGAATATGAACTAATATAGTACTGGTCCACTATTATTATATGAATATAAACAGATGCCCTTGGTTTTAGAGGAAGGAGTTATAAATGAGGTTGTGGGACCAAATATGGAGTAATTTCGATTGATTAGGTAAGGAGGGGCCTACTCTGAATGAGATGGAGATGAGTGGACGAGGAAGTTTCAATTTTCAATTTAGATGACAAAATACGGAGAAAACTGACAATATATATGTTGATGTCATAGATTAGAATGAATGCATGTGCGTGCAAGCTTGAGGTCACTATTAAAAGTTGGATACTACTCGTATCAACTACAATCCATTTGTATGTGTCCCGTGGAAATGGAAAGCACCCCGCCACGTCATCTCAATTATTGGTAACAAATAGATCAGCCTTCTCTTATTGAAAACGCAAATGACTCTTTTAAGATTTTGAACCCAACACACACATGGATTCAATCAGACGCATGTATGTATATGATACCGTCAAATATAATTGTCACACGCCTTTGTATTTCCAGCAACCACGTGATACCATTTATTATTATTATTATTATTATTTTTTATGCCAACGATATCATTTAATTGTTTTGTTTAATACCACTTCCCTCCTATAACAATATAATATATGAACATTATTGCATGGTGACTGAACATGTTTAGTTAATTAGGCTTTTCGATAATATCACGTATAGTACTCTTTGTTATGATATGATGAGTTTATATATATCTCTCTCTCTATGCCCCACACCCACATATCTTTTTTGTCTGGTGCCGCTGAGATGCAAGTAATGCAGAAAGTGACCCTTGCGAGCTTACCAATCCATTATCGAATACGTACATTATACTGGGGCTCCCAACTATGTGTCCGTCTTTCACTGTTCCCATCCCACCCAAGCCTTGTCCTCTTCTATATGCCTAAAGACGTTAACAGCACTGTATCATTAATAACACACGTTAATCATCATGCAGCTAATTCTAAATATATGGTTTAGGGGTTCGTTTTATCTCCAAATTAATTATTGATTAATCAATAAGACCTTTTTTCTGCAGATTGAAACGAGAGGGGGTCAGCGAGCGTATTTAAATCAATTCAATTTCCTTCCGCTTGCTCCTCGATTCATCTCTGCTCTCTCCGTGCACGACCCGTCCATATTCACAACTGCCACATCTGCCACGTCCGGTCAAAGTCATCCGCCAATGGATCCGCCCAGATTCCTCATCCAAGCACCGGAAGCCAGATCCTTGGCGGAATCCTCCGCCCTCCCTCTCCCCCACTTCCTCCTCTCCCTCGTCTCCTCCGCTCAGTCCCTCGCTCGCCACCCCATTTCCAACTTCCCCGTCGCCGCCGTCGGTCTCGGCCCTTCCGGCCGCATCTTCATCGGCGTCAACCTCGAGTTCCCCGGTCTCCCCCTCCACCAGACCGTTCACGCCGAGCAATTCCTCCTCACGAACCTCTCCCTCAATGCGGAGCCCCGTCTCGACTGCTTCGTCGTTTCCGCAGCCCCGTGCGGCCATTGCCGCCAATTCCTCCAAGAAATTCGCGATGCCCCGAACATCAAGCTCCTCATCGCCTCCGATGAAACCCGAGATTTTACCCCTTTGTCGAAATTCCTATCCCACAGATTTGGACCCCACGACCTTCTCCCCGAGGACGCTCCTCTGCTTTTAGAACCGCGCCACAACGGGCTCTCCATCTCGGAGGAAAGCCATGACTTAGCGAATGGGTACATAGTGAACGAGGAACTGAAGATAGCGGCTTTAGAAGCTGCTAACAAGTCTCACGCACCGTACAGTGGGTGTCCCTCGGGGGCGGCTCTGATGGACGGCGGCGGCAAGATATACAAAGGGTCATACATGGAGTCGGCGGCTTTTAACCCGAGCATGGGGCCGGTGCAGGCGGCGTTGGTGGCGTTCGTGGCAGGTGGAGGAGGGAAATACGAGGAAATCGTGGCGGCGGTGTTGGTGGAGAAGGTGGGAGCGACGGTGAAGCAGGAGGGAACAGGGAGGCTGCTGATTCAGTCCATCGCGCCAAAGTGCCAGTTCAAGGCGCTGCCCTGCAGCAACACCCCAACCTGATTTTATTGTACTATCTATCCACCCTTAATTTAAAGAGAAAAAAAAATCATTGCACTATTTCAGTAGTTACTATGTTTATAATACAAATCCAATATTATACCTAAAAATTTAATTCTACTGGCACATGAAGTGAATAAAAAGTTGGCCAAAATGGTAAATAATAAGAATATTTTCTAAATTCATATTAGATGTCAAAAGAATCAACTTATAATTAGCGTATAATTTTGAAACAAAAATGATACTCGGATTATACGCGTAGTTTAATGCATGATGAGGCAAAATAAAACAAAATAGTGGCTTGATCGGAAGTAGAACAGAATGAGGACCTGGCCGGGGCCCCTCCGCTCTTGTGCAGTTTATAAGTTTTTTAAAACCGAATTAAGTGATTTAAGAAAATAATAAATATTTAAAAATTGAATTTTTCTATGGTATTCCTTATTTAATAAGGAGGAAATAAAATAGAAAAATATTAGTAATAAAATAAAAAAAATAAAAAAGAATATAATATGAGAAAGAATGAGAAAAGAGGATATAAAATTAATTAGGACAAAATTGATAAAAAAAAACATTTAATATTCAGATATCACTAAAAAAGGGCTAAAAAAAATTTAAATATTCGGATATTATGCCATGTAACGGAGGATTATTTCATGAATGATGGGGAAGTGGAAGAAGATATAAAATTGAGACAGTTGGGATTAATGATTAGCTAGTTATGAGAATTAGAATGAAGGAGGAGGGAAATAGAGTTCAATTAGGCAGTGAAAGAAGAGGAAGCAGCGTGTCTCAGACGAATGCCTGCTCCATCTTCTTCATCCTCCTCTGTCTCTCTCAGAACAGCATGAACTAACACAATCAACACCCCGACGCCCACTCCCACTAATATGTTATCTGTCACGTTGCTCAGACATACCAATCCCACTGTCACCATTAGCAGCAACACCGCCACCAATCTCTCGTCAATCGCAAACCCACAAATCCTCGGAGGGTTATCTCGCACCAAATACAACACCATCCATGCCGCCATCAGTGCGCAATATATGATGACGCAGAGGGGGTGCCACAGCAAAGTGAGCAACACCATCAACAATATCACCATCACGTAGTTCGTGCGGAAAACACGCGCATTCCTCTTCATTCTCTGGAGGAAGTTGAAGAAGGAGAATGGCCGTGCGAGGCGAGAAGGATTCATCATGTCCTTCCATGGTTTTGCTGTGCCCACAATTGTTTGGAGCTGCTCTTTTGCCCGCTGCAGGAACTCTTTGTTTGACGACGACGCTTCTTCCGGCTCCTCTTCTGAGATCGTTCCGTATCCAGATGAGCTCATTTTGATTCCTCTTCAGAGCAATGACGTAAAGGGCGCCCTGATGGGATCTCGAGGTATGACGTGCTTGACATCATCTGTTTCAAAACCCTAACATCTTCCTTCGGGTCATCCCATTCATAACTCCGTAACATGTCGATAAACCAACATGCGCGACTATTGCGGATCTCTTCACTTTTTCAGAGGCAGAGGATTGGAAGGGAGCATCTCCTAAATTTTAGAATTCAGAGTTGCACGAGGCATTGACTAGTAATCATGTGACTTCAGCAAAATTATAGTTTTCACCCTCGATTTTAATCCGGCCTTTATTTTTTTGTCAATTTTGTAACTTCGTCATTATAAGTGACAAAAATTTATGATGCGATCTGAACCGGAGCCGGAAGAGTGAGAGGACAGGAGGACAACTTGATGATGTATCATCCATGGAGCACCGCTAAAAAGGGAATTATTCGCCTCGCTCTTTTTCTATGAATCAAGATCAGACAAGAGCATAGTCAGCGATCACGATAGAATAGAATAGCATAAATCCTCACTTCATCTTAAATCAGCCAGAAAGTGCAAAATCAAGGCGCTGCAGATCCCCTGTAATATAAAATATTGAAGGCAGCTTTCATTTCTGACGTTAAGTGTAAAGAAAAGCTGCGGATAAATACAACTTCGAAACCTTATAATTTCATACTTCAGAGCAGCTGTCATCTCTATAGGTCACAAATCAAGCCGTGTAAGCAAAAACAACGAAAAATAGAAGTTTTCTGATTGGTGTTCTGGTGAGCGGATAAAATACAACGCTGAAGATTGAGTCCAAAAGTCAAATCACCGATTCGTTAGGCAGAACAGGGCTGCATGAGCTGTGTCACGGCCTTACGGGTCCCAATAACATCCTCTGTTTCTTGATTCCGGAAGACACAAAAAGTAACCAATTTCATTTCTACACGTCGCCAGGATTCATTCGCGTTTTGAAGCGTTCTTGCTTCACGGCACAGCTTAAAATCCTCCCACCTGGTTGGTTCTATAAATTTGAGATGTTTTAAGACTTGAACCTTTACATATTGGGATTGTCGCACGTGACTTTCCTGTCCCGGGCTTATTACCGTCTTTGCAGATGATGTTAGAGGTGTTAACTTCTCCCAGGGTTTGCTCTTATTAAAACTCTTCTTTTTAAACCTTTTGACATCCAAAACACCAAAAAATTAGTTTTCTTTCAATTACAAATATACTGGCGTTTTATGAAAAGGGGAAAAAGCTCTTCTCCGGATCTGAACAGATGATGACTTCCGCCTCATCATGGTGTTACTTTTCCACTGAGTTAAAACAGTCCGTTTGGTTCAATACATAAATAAGGAACTAGCCGCTGGGCCTTCATATGATCATTATATGTTATGTGAAATCAGAATAGAAAGAAAGGCTTTATAAATGAAGAAACTCAACTTCTCCTAATAAAGTCTTGTCAATGATAAAAAACGCTAGCTATAACAGCAAGTTTTCCTTTCTCCAGATCTCAAGTTTACATATAACGCCTCCTCTATGCTTCTTTTTTTTTCCCCCTTCCCCTTTGGGATCAGTCCAAGGGTTCAAGTCTTAGGCGCGTTTTCTATAGAATATTAAACATGAAAATTGTGCAGCCAGGATTTACTAAATTTAGAAACGGCAGTGATGTAAAGGTGAAGTTTTTAAACAGAAGATCATCTAACAGATAAGATTGATCGACGCTAAAAAAAAAAACCATTGGAAAAGTCAGGGCCCGGCAAAAACATAATATGCAATTTAACAAGGGCTTTGACAGAAGAAAAATCATATACAACGGAGGAGGAGAGAGTTTGACATCCAAGTGGTAATCTCATTCTGTCTCAATAAAATCAAAATTTTGGGTGAGCATATTACTTGCATAGTTACATACTCATAAGCATTGAAGATAGGCAAGCTTGGCGACTACTTGAGCAGCTCAGAACTGATGAAATTCTACGTACAAGACTCTTTCAGGGATCTCAAGCCCAGGAATACGATGTCTCTTCCCTTGGAAACGCCGCATCATGTTTATAATTCTGACCTCTGATTCTGAGCATCCATCCATCCAAGAAAACACTTAACCATGCATCTTGGCTTCTCAATCATATATTTTTGCTAACTTGTATATGTTTACGCACCAGGTAAAAGAACTGACTCTGCGAATGAGGCAGAACCATTAGTGGATGCACCCTTAATCTTGAGAATAGAAGTGATCAAATTATAAATCTCAACATTCTCAAACGATGGGATTTTCCTCCCTCTTGCAAATTGAGGACCATGCCCAATAAAAATGCTCCTCATTGAGAAAATTGAGTTGTCGTAGCCATGTGAACCACCACACTCTTTGCGCTTTGCTCTTGTCTGCTCAACCTTGAAACTTTCTTCAATCAAACCAATTATTGGTGGAATCCTATCGCTCGCCGCATAATGAAGCCGGCCAGGCAGGTCCTCCTTGAGATACACTTTCAAGTACTTCCCGTTTTCAACTTTCCCAGATTTCAATCCTTCATTCATCTTAGATACAACATCTGACGGGTCATTGCCAGGAGGTGGACGAATTGCGAGCAATGGAGTGTACGAATGGACCCAACTCTTCGGAATCTCAATCCAGGGAGCCAAATCATCTAAGAAATTAGCTTCCTGTCACATGTACCAACCATCCCATGATCCCCCACCATAATAATATGAACATCTTCAAAAATACCCCTTTGTTCCAACCCTCTAATTAACCTCCCTATCATCCTATCGATCCCAGCAACAGCTTCAGTGATCTCTGGATCATCGGGACCAACCTTGTGACCCTGATGATCAGGGTCCTCAAAGTACAGCGTCATAAATGAAGGAATCTCAGCGCTAGGCAAATCAAAATACTTCAATATTGCATCCACTCTTTCCTCAAATGGAACAGAACCATTATAATGCCTGCAATATTTGGCAGGACAAGTCCAAGAACCTTTATTTACCTCAGCGCCAGGCCAGAAATATGTTGCAGCTTTTAACCCGTTGTTGACCACGGTCTCCCACAAGGGCTCGCCCAGCCACCACTTGGGTTCGTGGCTAGCCATGGTGAAAAGTTCACCAGTTTGAGGATCCAAAAAGTAGTTGTTGATGATGCCATGATAGGCAGGGTAGAGACCCGTCACGATGGAGTAGTGATTGGGGAAAGTTAGAGAGGGAAACACCGGGATCAAGCCGGTTTCGGCTTCAGTTCCGTTGGCAATCAGACGGTGAATATTGGGTGTAGAAGTCTTGAATTGGTAGCCGAATCGAAAACCATCGGAAGAAATCAAGAGAACCACGGAGTGATTGAGCTTCTGGAGGGGACGAGCTTTCGGGGAAGCAAAGGAAGAAGTGGAGTGGTTGGTGAAGGTTGAGGAGGAGGAAGCGGCGGAGAAGAAAAGGAAGGCGAAGGCGGCGGCGGCGGAGAAAGCAATGCAGGAAATGAGAGTGAGAGAGATGAAGATGACGGAATAGGAGAGTTTGTGAGAATTGAAGGCGGAGGAAGAAGAAGAATCGGTGTTGAAGGAGAGGAGAGCAGTGGAAGGAGGGTCTTCCTCTTCGGTAGGTAAAGGAACGGGCTTGGTAGAACTCAGGACGTCGGGCGAAAGATCAGAACCCATATTGGGAAGCGAGTCTGCAATGGTGCTGAAGAAGATGCCGTCTTGGCTCAGTGTTGTTGTCGATAGATGGGATGGGAGGAAAGTAAAGAGGCGGATGGAGTGAGACTGAAGGTTGGGGGGCGTCCGGTTAGGTGGAGGATCGCTGTCAGAGGCAGAGCGCAGGGCGGGTGGACCGATGGAGGTTTAAGACAGCGGTGCTTCAAAGGGATATCCCGACGAGGAACCACCGCGTGTCGCATTACAATTGGACCATCAAAGGGAAGCTGACCAATGGGATTAGAGCTTTGTCACATTTTCTTTTGGCCAAAAAAATTCCCCACCGATATTTTCAAGAGGGACTTTTTTTTAGGTAAAATTGTAATAAGATCATATCCAAGAAAAAAATTTCTTAAAATTATCAAATTATTTTAAAATTTTAAAAGATCTCATTACAAGAAATTTTATTTATTTAATTATTAAATTGTCTATTTTTTAAATATGTATTGATAACTAAGAAAGCAGTTACTAATAACCTAAGGTGTAATAATTACTCCCTCCGTTTCTTATTATAAGAGACAAATAACCGAAGTACGTTGATCAAAAAAACAGTTAAAATTAGTTAAGAACAATTAATGTGTAAAAAGTATAATTTGTTTTCCAAAAATACCCTCATTAATAAGGAAAGAGAACATGAGAGAGAATAATTAAAATATTAAAAGAAAGAGAAGTGGGAGGGAGAGAAAGTGTGAGTTGGAGATAATAAATATGAGTAAAATAGGAAATCAACACAAAAAAGTAGAGACAACTTTTAAGTGTCTTTTATATATAGGAACATACTATAAACATCAAATGTCTCTTATAATAAGGAACGGAGGGAGTAATAACTATTACGGTATATATTGATAACTTATGCATTATATTTTTATAACGAGCTGAGAAAATATGTTATTAATACCTGTTATGATAGCTGTTAATCGTTACACCTTAAATTGTTAACCACTATATTCTTTTAATTGTCAATAGAATAATTTGTTAATTAAACAAATAAAATTTATTACAATGAGGTCCTTTAGGATTTCAAAATAATTTAATAATTTTAATAAACTTTTTTGTATTTAATTCTCTTGGATAAGATTTTATTACAATTTTTCTATCTTTTTTAATCCGGCTAAGGTACGATCATAAAATATCTTCTTATTTTTTAGATTAGTTGGCAAGAAAAATAATATTTATCAAATTAATTTTTGAATAAAATTTTGAATTTAAAATATTTGTTTAGTAGCAATTTTACCCTTTTATTCTTAAAAATAATGCAATTTTAATCTCGCCATTAATTCCCTAAAAAATGAGGGTGAAATCTATAATAAAATTATAAATTTAATTTAGGGCCGTTGTGCAACTATGAATAATCCTGGTTGTTTGTAACTTCAATTTACACATAATAAGAAATAATAAATAAAAAATTGGTTGCTCATATTTTTAATATCTACGGAATAAAATAATTTTTCAAATAAAACAAGTTAATTATTTTTTATATTTAACATATAGAAGGTTAAAAAAATTAAACTAGGACAGCTGTAATTAATTTATAATTACTAATTTTAGTAAAATTATCTGCAAAAAAATATCAATTCACATATTTTTCTAGATATATATACAATTCCCGTAGAATGAAAAGGCACTTATAATTAAAAAAAAATGAAGAAGAAGAAGAAGAAGGAATTGAACTCTCCAAAATATCACTTCTCCCATTTCCCATTTCCTTACTGATCTCATGCCCCCTCCTTAAATCAAACAAAATATTAATTTTTCTGTGCATCGTAGGAAATGGGAAATGGTGTAAATTTTGTGGGATGTTTGTTTTGGAATAGTTTTCTTGATCTTAATTGCATGAATTATTAATGTAAGTTTGACAAAATGTGTATAATTGCTCCACATTTATATTTCTGCACAAGGTCGTCAAATCAAAAGCGGAGATAGATTGATGAATTAGGTGAAAAGAGATGAAGAGGGCGGGGCTGCAATAACTGTGACGTGTAATTCTGAACAAATAACATGAATTGTTGAGACAAAAACTAAAAACTAAATTGACTGATTTAATTTAATGAAGTAGCAGTAATGAAAGAGATCAAGAGATTAGACAAATAAAAGAAGAGATGAGGAGTATGAAGAATGAAGTGGAAGCGAGGAAGCTAGTTAGGGCCTGCGAAGAACTCTTCCGGCGAAGAGGGCTGCCTTCATGACACAGAGGATTACATGAACGACCTCCTCCACTTGGCACGTGTTTCCCTGGAAAGTCCTGCTTCTGCTTCCCCCCTTGCTGTATTTCTTCATGCACTTTATCAACCTCTTGCTGCATTCTTGGCTCAAGTACCCTTCTGCATATATGTGTGTGTGTGTGTGTCATTTATTCCAAGTTAGTTAAATTCATTGTCCGTCGAATATCAAAGTGAGTGCTGCATTATATTCCTACCAAAATGAAAGTTAATAACTTAATAATTGTATTACTGTTTGTGTCTCCTACGCATTGGTCATGCTTCATACAACAAGCGTCCAGGCCGTCGCAGGGCCTTTCTCCGGGGCACCCGCTGTAGAGGAGGCCGCAGTACTTGCCATATCTCAGAAATGGAGCCACTTTGATTCCACATTATATTATATTCATCAATTATATTCATTATCAACAATACCATCCATCCAATCCAATCAAAAACTGCACACAACATATAATCATCGAAGGACGCACCCACCTACCTGAACAGAAGCTTGACTCGCAACTTCTGCTGCAGTTTTTCTCCTGTATGCAGAGACACAGAGAGAGAGAGAGAGTTGCACGAGTTATTAGTAGATCGAACCGCGGGTGCGTGTTACAAATTTACAATAAATGGCTATATAATACCACTAAGAAACAAACAAACCAGGGAGACAGCAACTCCAGTGGCTTGAGCTCCTATGTTGAGGGCATGGATGCTATTGAGCAGGGCGACGCTGGCCAAACACAACGCAACTCCATACCTGCTCCCTCCTACCATTCTTATACACACACTTCATTCATCTCCATCGTCTTCAGGGCTTTGATTTTAAGCTTGGTTTTGCTGGCAGGCTCTGATTCACAGGCTCATCAGTTCAAAAACAATGCGCCTCCCTTTTGTTTTCTAGCGTCTCGTGACTTTATTATATATCTTTCTTAATAAAATGCTCTCGTGGAATAAAATGCTCATTCTCTCGTGATCATCCAATTGTATGTCTTCTGTACAACACATTAAAATTAAACATCCGTGTGTGTGTGTGTGTGTGTCTCACGTCTAAAATATATTCACCGTGATTAATTATTCAAAAGCCATAGCACCTTCCCCCCCCCCGGGGGGGGGGGGGGAGGTTTCCCCAAAGTAACCTACCTGGAACCCCGAGATTGTTGTAATCTACGTACTAATGACCTTCCGGTTACAAAAACTGCCTAGAAACATCTTCAGAGCTTAGGAGCTAAAAATGATCCAGGTGTGGGAATTGATCCCCCAGATGTATAAAGATCTGTTGAAACTTGTATTCCCGAAACATTTCATTTCCTTCGAGCTCACAATAATTACTGGGATAAATCACTAATTAATGACTTTTTCCATGCATAGGGCTAGTTTTTTTTATTTCTGTTTCTGGATAATTTTGATATTGACCCAATGGATCGGCCTGTATACTAGTTCATTCAAGGAAGTGTGATCTCTGCTCCAATTATTTATAGCTAGTTTAGCACTTACGAAATCTTATCTTCTTAAATAATGTATACTGAGATCATCTAAAAATATTTCAGACCAAAAAAAACAAACAAAGAGAAAGATCATCTCAAAAAGATTAAAGACGCGACAATTCATTTCATCCATTGAGCAAATTCTAATGTTATCATGGATACTATTTCTCTAAAAGTTTAGGATTCTTTTGTATAAAAATTTAGAATATTATAATTACATGCCATGAGATTTTAAACTTACAAGTTAGGAGGTGGATGTCATCATTTAAAAGTACTAGTAAGACACACATATTTAGATTGGTTTGTGATCATTCTTTGCACAAAAATTAATACTAACTGCGTTATTTATGACCTGTAAATAATGACTTTCTATAAATTTTGTCTGCGTGACTGTGTTTGTTTAAAATCACAACCCTGGATGCCATCAAAAAACTTGCTTAATTTAAAGATGGTGATATATATCGACACACACACGCACATAGGACAGACGCAATTTATAAGCTGTGCCTTGCATGTTATACAAGGGCGTGTTATGGGTATGAGTATGAGTAGTGTGGCAAAGCTTAGCATCTCTCTTATATGATTGTGTGGGTTCGATTAGCTAGGAGAGAAGCCAAGGTTTGCCACCATTTATGTTGAATTTCTTGACTCTTCCAAACACCATGACGACTATAAGGATCAGCTTTCCTTTGCTACTCCATCTTCCTGCAAATCCAAACCATTTATCTCTACAGTTCCCGTCTGCTTTCAATCTCAATTTGCAGCTATATCCCATTGAGAACCCCACGTTCCCGTACGCGCTGCATATATTAATATTAAATTTAATTTCTTTAGTATTCCGCTCCTTCATTTTATATATCTATATATATATATAGATAATTAAGCTGTTCAACCCGCTTACCTCATTACTTCAAGGGCGATGTTAAACACATTAAAGTTGAGGGGATCTTCTCTTAAGCTTCTGCTCTCCGTGATGCAAATCAGTATAATAAACATCACCAAATAAGATAGTTGAGACGACATAAGACATTCCCTTAGGCTTATTTTTTCTTTCTGCCTATCATTTTCGGGATCCCTCGTGGGTAGAAATGTCGTGTATGGTGGCAGATACCTGCAGTAGTTATTTGTGAAGGAACAAATTTATGCAACTCAAATTCTGATATTCTTTCTTCAAATAGATTATCTTCTTTCATGTATATAATCTGTACATCTATATATAGTCCAACAATTCATATGTAATAATATTATTCCTCTTCAATTAATTATGAGCCACACCAAACAACGTGGAACAACAAAAAGGTCAATTATGAGCGCCGATATATATAACATAAAAAGAATGTTTGCACTGCCAATATTCAACCCATGAGTTTAGAGCTTCAATAGCACCACAAGAAGGAAAAATAACACTAGTGGTGGCTAAAACTTATTATATTATGGACTTTATACTGTTTCAGAAGAAAGAAAAAACCATCATAGTGGGAAAATTAGAAAACCAAATATTAATGACTTGGCTTACAATATTTTTCACTCTATTTCCATGGAAGTAGGCAGAGAGAGTAAAGAGATACTTACATCATGACAACGAAGAGCACCAAGGTAGCCGAAGAGAGCGTAGAAAGATCAACAACAGATTCACCAGCATGTCTGACATTTGAAATCTGGAACAAGGACGAAATTAATTTCTGAATGCTATTTAGGCCCTCCATGTTCTCCGATTTCCACTCCATGCAGCAGAACAACACGAATTGCGTCAGATTCAGCCCCAAAACCGTAGCTGCGAGGCACAAGCAATGAACACCGGACAGCATGTGGTCATAGCCCAGCACCTCATAATTCCTCTGAATGTAAGAAAACTCTTCTCTTTTTGTCACTCTCTCCAGAATCCAAATCACAAGCCTCAAGAATGGTGGGTATAAGGTGCTCCCGAGGAAAACAAATGGCAAAATAAGTAACAGCAAACCTGGGTTATGCCTGAACACAAACATGTTTTCGTTTGTGGGCACAAAACCACAACTGGCAAAAGTGGACACTATGGTGAACACAGAGAATGTGTGTATGTTGATCCCTTTGTTTCTTAGCACCTTTCTTGCACTTGGGATGATACTTATGTAGGATGAGACCAAACCAGAACCAACCATGTGGAGTACCGCAAGGTAACCCAAGATCACGAACCCAAGACACTTTATAGAGTTATGCTTCAGCCTGTTCGTCTTATCATTTTGAACAATATTAGCATCGCTGTGATCACCAGAACTAACATCATTCTGCTTGTGTATAGAAACTAAACGAATCTCGATTTGATTGGCACTCGGAATTGGAGGGCGCTGTTTGAGCTGAAGAGGATTTGGTCCGTCCTTAAGGCTCTGTTTCCGAGAGAGAATGAAGGAAGAAAATAGAAGGCCGAGCATGGAGATGAAAACCTCACCGCCAAGGAACATGAGGAAGATGATGAGAATGAGCTGGGAATTGGAGAAAGCCTCCATTTCTACGACGGACAAGCTGGAGACGGTGGACGCAGATACAGAGGTAAAAAAGAGATCAAAGGCGTTGGGGGGAACAGGGATTCTGGGCTTTGAGATCTTGAGACCAAGGAAACCCAAGAGAGACATGATTATGAAGTACAAGAGTTGGAGAAAAACGGGGCTAAGGTGAATGGAAAGAAGACGATGGAGGGACATAATAGGAGTTACAGGAGCACCCAGAGCAGAGGATCGATCGTGCAAGTTTTTGAGAGGAGAGCAAGAAAGAAGATGCCTCATGTTTGTAAGAAATGGAAGAAGGTGGTGGGTGTGGTACGTCAACAAGTGAGAAGGTAAGGGAAGGAAAGGGGTTAGTATTAAAAAGGCATAAGAAAGCACTGTGAAGGTGGGCTTGGCTGTGAGGGCATGTGAGGTCGAGGGACTGAAAGCGAGTGATGCATGGTGCAACGTAGGCACAAGGCTCAAGTTAATTCGGGTACGTGTGGTTGTTTTAACCCTTCCTTTTCAAATTTAATACCAATACAAAGCCATTGACTATAATTTCCCGGGGGTTGGTTTTACCAAGGATGCACTGTGGACTGTCGAGACGTAATTGTGATGAGATGAGAGGGTTCAAAAGGGGTAAGACCAATGATGTTACGATGTAAAGAGAATGAAAATTTGAGCGCCCACGTGCAGTCTCTTTAGGTAGGATTCCGGGAAAAGCATCAGCTTTTGTGATAGATGATACAGAAGTTGGAGCGTTCACACAGCTTTTCTGAAACACAAGTTGGAGCCTTCCCACTCTCGAGAATGCGAGAGGCGCATATTATATGTAAAATATTTGATTCAATTCATATATATACAATGATATCACGAATTAGTGTTGTGTTACAGAAAATCGTACTGAAAGAGTGAGAGACATCATAAAATATTAGAAATGGGCGTCGATGTGAAGTGAGACCACATGTCAAAGATGTTGGAAGAACTAAAAAATATCGGTGGTGCGTATGGGCAATAGTGAAGGACAGAGAGGGAGAGAGAGAATGGAGTCTCATTTGGGTCTCCACAAAACATGAAGATTGAAGAATATACGTTCACTGTGACCTTTGTCACTCCTATTTTAATTCATCGATTCAGTCAGCAGATTGTTTTCCACCTCATCGTCCACGTCAATAACAAGTGGGGGCCGTGGAGGGGGGAACAAAAAGGACACAAAAAATGCAAATTTATTACTACCTCTTATCCTAATTATAAGAGCCAATTGACTAATTTGGAGAGATTAATGAACTTAGTTAAGTTAATTATTTGTAATGGATAAGTATTGTTTTTCCTAAAATATCCTTACTAATCAAGTTTGTTATCTACAACTATCATTATTAAAGGACTATCTTAAAAAAAATAGATAACTATAAAAGATAAAGTAGATTGGAGTCTTATATTTAGAATCAAAATAAAAATCAAACATATTCTCTCTCTTTATGCGTGGTATCCTCTCTTAATCTGTGCGACTACAAGATCTGTCTCTCTCTTCTTTGGATTTGGATCCTCTCAGAATCCTTCTTTCTCCTTTTCTTCTCAGAATCTCATCTCTACCATTGGATCAAATAATGCATGGTTCAATCTGAACCATGCATTATTTGATCCAATGGTAGAGATGAGATTCTGAGAAGAAAAGGAGAAAGAAGGATTATGAGAGGATTCCTTTTCTGTCCCTTTACCCTGACATTTAAATCTGTGCGCCTACAGGATCTATCTCTTCTTTGGCTTCCTTTTCTGTCCCTTTACGCTGAGGGGTGTTTGGATTTTCCTTCAAACCATGATTTTGAAAAGAAAGCCATAGTTTGAAGAAAAAACATCCAAGCATTATTTTTATAAAAATAACTAAACACCATAATTTTTTTTAAAATCACTTTGCATTGGGAAACCATGGTTTTTCATAAAGTAAATTTTTTTTTTGCTTTTTAAGGCATAAGATCATGGTTTGGGATATAAATATATATACACATATTAATTACTACCTTTGATCCTTAATGTAAGAGTTGGAAAACTAATTTGTAAATATTAAAAAAATTACTTAAATTATTTATTTATAATAAATAGGTGTTGCATTCTCTAAAACACCTATTAACGATGTGTATTGGGATTATTATTTAATGTAACATTTAACATGTGCAAATTAACATAAGGGCTACTTTGACAAAAAAGGATAAATGTATGAGACAAGATAGATTGATATTTTAGATTCAAAATCAAGTGGAATACCCAATTAGCTCTTATATTAACGACCGGAGATAATATTAATTATATTTTTCATATATAATTTATTATTTACAAATTTATTATTTCAAACAAAAATATAAATTAAAATCTATCATTTATTTAGTTATCATATTAGCTTATGTCCTTTTTAGTAATTTGTATATAAAAAAAGATTCTGATAACAATTATTCAAATATTCTCACTTTATCAAAATCACTTTTTTCAAAATCTATTCTGAAAATTTATTTTTCCAAAATCTATTTACAGAATCTATTATTCTAAAATCTATTTTTCAGAAGTTATTTTCTAAATCATGGTTTGATTTTATCCAAACACCCCCAAAATATTTGATTTTATGGAAGCACTTTGGGCCATCTAGCTATTTGTATCGGTAATCATTTATGTATATCTTTCTGCATTAATGTTCTGTTCATATATCCTCCTCCTCCCTGTGACACTCGTCTAGCTATCTACACATGTACGTTTCATTTTCTTTCCATTATTGTGTCCTTTTCTGGTCTTATTAGTTACTGCTATATCTAATAAATCTGCCAATCTGCGCCTACCTCTCTTCTTCCCGTTTTCTTAGGATCGTGTATGCTACATATTTTAAATATTAAAGGGGATATGATATTTAATGGGTAGCAAAGTATGGAAAGGAAATGCTAAGTCGGTGCAATCTGCCCCACTCACTCACAAATTTGTTGGTTGATAGTCCATTGTGATATGAGAGTTGGCACATTTATTCCCCCCACCTCTCCTTCCTCCCTTTTCTAGCTTCTTCTATTTCCCTACCTTGTTCTTTTGATAGACTCCCAAACAACTCCCCATCTTTCTTAGTACATTTGCCTTGTTCTTTTATAAACTATTTAGTTTACTTTCTTGTATTATTATACGAATTGCAAAGATTACATATCAGTGAAAAGTAATATTTAAAGATCACATAATTTGTCGTCAGTAACCAACAATGTTGCTCCTTAACTGTAAGTGGTTGTTTTAATAAAGATAAACTTAAGAAATATTTAGTGCCTGTGTGCATTATTAAACTTTAATTGCCTCATGGGGAATGATATCTCTCTCTACCCATTTCTTTCTTTCTTTGTTTTTTATACTTCTGATTCCGCATGTTAAAGAGGAAGTAATCAAATAAAGATACTTGTAGCCAATCAGTAATCCTTATTTCACCCGAGAAGATTTAATAATAACCTAAACTACTCTGATTCTTGATGTAAGATATAATTAACTAATTTGAATATATTAAGAGTGTTAGTTAAATTAGTTAATATGATATGTATTTTTTAAAACACCATAATCATCTTTTTAAATTCCTTCATTTTCTCTTCTACTTGATTATTGTGAGAGAATATCAATAGGATTAATTTTAAAAAAGACTAATAAATATGTAAAATAGATCTTATATAAAATACTAGCATCAATTCTTAAATTAAGCCCTACATTAAAGACCAGAGAAGTCTATCATACCAAAAATTAAGTCACTTGTTTTTGTCATCTCCACACCGTTTTTGTCAAAGAACAAGTTCGCATTGATCAAATAATTCATTATAATTTGATGATATTTCTTGAATTGCAGAGAAATAAAGGAGAAACAAAGTTTTGTACGATTCTTAGGCCTTTGCCCTTTGTGAGTCCAGACTCTCGTCTTCATAGGCATACGCCAAGACAAAGAAGAATCTTGAAATGAAATATAAGAATTTTGAAATGAAATATAATATGTCATTATATATAGGATCATTAAGCGATACTGTTAAGTATGAGTTGTTTTCGTGAAACCCAAAATAAGACAACAATAATAATTTTTACAAAGGGATATACATATATAGTTTGCTTCTATGTATATCTTTTGAGTGATCAAAATTAAAGGCAAGTGAGTTTATTTGTTGATGGTAGAGATGGTGGAGATTTGCCTTTCATGAAAAATGAAAAGAAAATAATATCTACTAGAATACACTAAAATAACTCTTAACTTTGTGATGTTTTATGAACCTTGTCATCTTCTATAAAATCGTTTTAAGAGTCGTGCCAAATAATTCGTGAATGTTGTCAATTTTGAAAATCTTCTCATCACATAATAATTGCAACAATAATAATTAAATACTGAAAACATAATCGGATATTATTACGTGTGCCTTGTATACAATTCCCTATTCCCATCTTGTGGCTATTGTCTTTATCTGTGTAGTGGATGGCCACTTCTTTCGACAGGATCATCTCCATTTAACTATCTTTTTTTGAAGGGCATAAAGCACTCCTATATAACTTTTTGCAAAAGCTATTAATCATGCAGTTGCAATAATATTTTCAAATAAAATAAGTGCTGTCTGTACAGTTGATTTTTATTGTAAGGCATTCGTAATTAATTAGCATTATGAAGAGCTGAGATGGTAGTCTCTAGCTAGACTTTGAAACCGTTAAGAATGCGCTCCGTTTATAACACACACCGTTCCTCAACTCATTTCTATTACATGAAACAAGCTTATGCCCCTTATTAGTTTTATCTTGTTTAGCTCCTTGTCTTTGGTTTCTGGTGCCCATTCCTGTTTTGGGCTAGCTGTGTACGTATGTACGTACTGCAACAGAGAACTGGTCTTGGCATTTTGGAGTCCCAACATTATTATTCACATTTTTTCAACTCGTACTAAATAATAAAAGGTTAATAAGACCCGTAAGGAACATTATTTGTAAATAACATGGAAGAGCGAGGTCATATACTTTTTCCCTTTTGGGCTTCAGCTAGCGTTCCTTATTCATTCATCGACCGATCAATCTTACTATTTCTGCATGCGCTCTCTGGACAATAATATAATGGAGCCACTAATGATTTCCTGCAAAACCAAATGTGTATGAATTGAATGAATGCGGACGAGAGAACCATTAATTAATTAATGTTGGTGTCAAGTGTATATGTGTCAATGAATGTATATATGTGTAGTGGAAAAAGTTACTCCATGTGATGTGGATAGCAATGCTCCACCATCAGACTTTATCGACCTGTTGATCATTCTTTAAGCTATGGGTCTTTATCGCCTTACCCCCAATGAAATCTCTTGTTATTATTAAAACTATCCATAAATGAATATATGGAGACAAATGTTATTATAAAAGGTTAGTTAATGTTCCAAGATTAAGGCAATGATCTTGATATCACAAGATTAGATTCTCACTGTCCAAAGAAGGTGGTAAGATGCTTGTTGTTGATGCTGTTATTTGTTCGCATATCCGATCTCTAGTAGCCAAAATATTTAATGAAGACAAATTAAATAATATTATATCAATATCTCCAATATCAATCGCAACCAGTGAAATTCTCTCCTCTCTCTCGTGTATGTATTTGTCGTGTTTAAATTGGATTGCTCTGAACCTGAATCCGGTATGTCCCTCTTCCTCCATTTTATTTTCTTGACATTTTTATTAAAACTACATGAATCTCTTCTGAGATAATCACAACTCTAATTCATCATAAGATTGGATTATTTAGCTTATCCATTAAGAATGAAGTATGTAAAATTTTGATCCATAATTTTGCAACTCAAGAAAGTTAGGAGAAGAATATGAGAATTGATAAGTTACATTAAATATTTATAATGGACCCTTCCAATCACCTAGAATCCCAAATTTTTTATAGATAAGTTATCTATCTGTCTTGGGATCGTCGTCAGGTTTGCTTAAATTGCATGGTTTCATGGGTGCAACCGGGGATTTTAATTTGCTCATTTAATTTGTACCTTGCAGCTCAGTGGTATTTTCAGCCTAGCTACCAATCAAAGCTCTCCACCCATGTAGAAAAGGCTTTTGGTCAAAGCTTCATTTATATGTAGGTGGAAGTAAAGGCAATTAATTAGGAGAGAAGCCAAGCTTTGCCGCCCCTCATGTTGAATTTCTTGACCCTTCCGAAGAACACGACGAGGATGAGGATCAACTTTCCTTTGTTTGTCCACTTTCCTGCAACTCCAACCCACTCATCTCCACACTTCCATCTGCTTTCAACTGCCATTTGCAGCTATATCCCATTGAGAACCCCACATTTCCATTTGCACTACATTTTATTATTGTTCATCATGTATATTTCATTATTTAGTATTTCAACTTGCTTCATTTCATTTGTGTGTGTACACATATGCTGATCAAATTTTATCTTTTATGTATCAATTACTTGCCTGATGACTTCAAGAGTGATGCTAAACACATTAAAGTTGAGGGGATCTTCTCTCCAGCTTTTGCCCTCTATCATGCAAATCAGAATAATGAACATGCCCAAGTAAGTCAGCTGAGAGAACAAAAGACACTCCTTTAGACTCCTTTTGTCTCTCTTCTTATCATTCTCTTGCTTCCTCATGCTTATGGGCAAAAATGTTGTGTATGGTGGCAGGTACCTGTTGCTGAAAACACTAAACAGACAGACATTGAAGCTGCCAAAATGCTCGGCCCGAATAAATTCTTTTCTTTTCTTTGCTTTTTTCCGTTATTTTTAATCAATATATTGCCCGATCGAATAAATTCTCTGGATGATATATTCTGCTCCCCGTGAATATTCCCATTTCCATATAGCAGGCCTGGCCAGATTGTATTCCCGGTTCCAAAATAAGAAATCGTTCGTCTATGCCATTTGTCAACATGCATGCAGCCAGCTAGCGATCATTATTCTACCCCATGCCCTGCTCAACCATGCGAGATGAAATTAACTATGACTTGCACTGCCAGGACCCAACCAACATTTGACATGCTTCTTGAGCCAATTCTGTTTAGTTTTTCCCTCATATAATTTTAAGAGAGTATATGATAATGATGTGAAAATAAAACATGTTACTTTAAGGTTATATATAAAATAACATATGCCAGTGAGATGCACGATCCTCAGTTCACTGTCCCAAAACAAATTAAAGGGGTCAGTTTCTGATGACAATTTTGACTTGTGTTCCCCGTATGTATGAACTAATTGCATGAAGTAATAATATATACTCCACCAAAGTTGAAGTAGCTGCATGGGGCAGGTGGAGGAATGGGTTGAAATGCAGCAGCAGATCTAAATGGCAAGCAAAAAAAATTGCTGGGGAATGTTGAATTCAAGTCAGGTTGTCCTTTTTACAAGGTTATAGCACTTCTGAGAGCAGATGTGCGGTTCAATATAAGCACAAGTTAATTCGCGCATTTGCTTTATTTACTTTTTCTTAACGTGCAAGTGGTTTTATTTTAAATGGAAATTCGATCGGTTTTATTCTAAGTGAATTATATATATTCTTTTAAATTTTGTGGATGTCCTTTTTTTTGTTGCCCCAAATACACTGCATCGCCCAAGCTTTACAAGATTAGGATCGAATTCGATATAAGCTTCAGTCAGTCATTAGTATCATGGTATTTAATTTTTAATTGAATTTCTCATTAGCATAATCTGTTGCTTTAAATACATTATCATATGGTGGTTAATTGAATATAAAATTGTTTTTATATATCTAAAAAATGTTTCTAATGTGTGTGTATCTACGCATATTCCATATATACATATATAACGATAGAAAGGTGCAATAAATAAGAAGTATTTGGGCGAATAAAATATATATGTAAAACAAAATGAAGGCATATTTTTAAATTACAGAAATACCAGTATGAAATATATGTATCAGTATCACTATGTACCCTTCATATAAAAAAAAAAAAAAAAAGAGTATCACTATGTACCTATCGTGTTAGTTTGTATGGCAATGAGTGGGCTGTGGGATTATAGTCAACGTATATGGGTAGAAGGCGCGTGTAATAAAATAAATGCGCGTCTTGTTCTGTTTCTGTTTTTGGGTTGAAGTCTGATACTTTGATTGGCGTCTTGGCCATAGTGGCTTGCGCCTAACCGACCATATATACACATGTGATTAGTGTCACGTAAACGTAATATTGAATTTTAAAGGGATGGATATGAAAGTGGTTTTGTTTCCACTCTGTTTTTTTAATCTTTTGCGAATATTTCAAGTATATGATTGTAATTTTCCTTTTAAAAAAATAAGTAGATATTGCACTATTATAATGTTTGCATTTACGTTGGTAAAACTTTTTAGTTTTTTTTTTTTACAGAAAGTTTAGGTGAGTTGGGTTTTAGAAACTCATCAAGACCAAGACCAAAACATACCTTCAAATTCAAAGAGTATTTATAGATATACTTACAAATCACTCACCAACAGCGTCCTCGTATAGAAATCGGCAGTGGGATGTGAAACGGGTGAAGTGCGTGTATGATGGTGGCCTGGGTATTTGAAAGATGCAGAGAATATGGACACGCTAGCATGGCAGCTTCTGGATTATATACTGTTTATATATGAACTTATCTCTCTCTCTCTCTCTCTCTCTCTCAAATATGTGCCCCTCTCACCCTTTGCTTCTTATGTTTCTTTTGGTGACTACCTAGAGATGCTGCCAATGGCATCTCCGTCATTTCAACTCTCTCTTTCCCTTTCGGGAAGTCAGGACACGTGTCTTCCTCCGTCACCATCCCCGCCGCCGGGGACCATATCTGCGCTGCTTTTCCCTCCTCCTCTCCAAAGTCGTTACTTCTTCAACTAACTAAACGGCTCCCCCATTAGCACGCCATTCCCTTTTTAACATCATCTCAAATCCTTCTTTTTTAGGAGGGGGGGGGGGACAGTGTGCATATTAACAGTAACTAAGACACTTACTGTATTGAGACCACAAGGCTTTCAATTTTGGAGACGATTTTCGTCAAAATCATGATGAGGATATAAACTATAAATGCATAGCTTCCGAATTGCGATTACAAGCCTTGACAAACTTGCTGAGCTTAAATATGTTCATGGATCCGTATTTACTACAAAAGGAAGGAAGGAAGGAAGGAAGGAAGGAAGTTGCATGCATGGGGGCCATCTAGGAGAGAAGCCAAGCCTTGCCGCCATTTATGTTGAACTTCTTGATCCTTCCCAGGATCATGATGACTACGAGGATCGACTTTCCTTTGTTAGTCCATCTTCCTGCAAATCCAACCCACTCGTTTCTGCAATTCGCGTCCTGTCTCAAACGCCGTTGGCAGCTATATCCCATCGAGAACCCCACATTCCCATAGGCGCTCACCACCTCCAGGGTGATGCTCAACACATTGAAGTTGAGGGGATCTTCTCTCAGGCTTTGCCTCTCCGTGATGCATATCAGAATCACGAAGATAACTAGGTAACACAACTGAGAGAACAGCAGACACTCCTTCAGACTTCTTTTCTCTTTCCTCCCCTCGTTTTCACGGTCCCTCGCGCTGGGTAGAAACGTCGTGTATGGTGGCAGGTACCTGTTCTCCACATACAAAATGGCCCATATCTACGTTATGTCCCATCATATTTCTTCTCCGACTTCACTAACTTCTTTCTTACTGGTGTATATATTTGGCATGATTTTAGTCAACAAGCACCATAATTATAGTATTCGTTTTCTATGGACCAAAATTTTATTCTTCGATGCAAAACACCTTCAGTTAATCCTCTTTATGAGATTCTGCGTGGTAGCATAAAGAGTTTTAAAAAACAATTAAAAATCTATGGTGCTAAGTCCTACAGGAGCCATATGGTTACCATTATAACTTTATTTGATTTTTCAACCGAAAAGAAGCAACATTTGTAGGTTCTTTCGAGATTTGAAGGCAACTTGCGTAAAAGTTACACCAAACATCCTGGAACACAAAAACAGATGGATCAAATATGAGCGCCGATGAACATGCACAGAACAGGCTCCCAAAACCCAAATAAAAATCTTCAAACGTGGAAAATTCACTAGGAAACAAAAGGGACTACTAGTTCAGAGCTTATAAAATTGTGACTAATCATGCGCCATTATACTTTATCTCCATGAAAGCAAGGAGGGCCAGGGGGAGAGGGAGAGATAGTAATGAGGTGCTTACATCATGACGACGAAGAGCACCAAAGTGGCCGAAGAGAGCGTAGAAAGATCGAAAACAGATTCACCGGCATGTCTGGCATTTGAAATTTGGAACAGCGATGAAATTAATTTCTGATAGCTATTTAGGCCCTCCATGCTGTCCGACTTCCACTCCATGCAGCAGAACAGCACCAACTGGGTCAGATTCAGCCCAAAAACAGTAGCCACAAGGCACACGCAATGTGCATAAGACAGCATGTGGCCATAACCCATCTCCTCGTAATTGTTCTGAATATAAGAGAACTCTTCTCTTTTGGTAACTTTCTCCAGAGCCCAAACCACAAGCCTCAGGAATGGCGGGTATAAGGTGTTCCCGAGAAAAACAAATGGCAAAATGAGTAACAGCAGACCTGGGTTCTGCCTGAACACAATCATGTTTTCGTTTGTGGGGACAAAACCGCAACTGGCAAAAGTGGACACTATGGTGAACACAGAGAACATGTATATGTCGATCCCTTTGTTTCTTAGTACTTGTCCTGCACTTGGCATGATTCTCATGTAGGATGAGACCAAACCAGAACCCGCCACGTGAAGCACCATAAGGTAACCCAAGATCACAAAAGCAAGACATCTAATGGAATTTTGCCTCAGTCTGCCCATATTATCATTTTTAGCCACACTAGGATCACTGCAATCTACAGTACAGGCCTCATTCTGTTTTTGCATAGAAACTAAACTAATCTCGATTTGATGGGCAGTTGACATTGGAGGGTGCTGTTTGAGCGGAAGAGGGGTTTCTCTGTCTTTAAGGCTCTGTTTCTTAAAGAGAATGAAGGAAGAATATAGAAGGTCCAGCATAGAGGACAAAACCTCACCGCCAAGGAACATGAGGAACAAGATGACAACGAGCTGGGAATGGGAGAAAGCCTCCATTTCCACCACGGTCATGCTGGAGACGGTGGATGCGGAAACAGAGGTAAAGAAGAGATCCAAGTCGCTGGCGGGAACAGGGATTCTGGGCTTGGAGACCTTGAGACCAAGGAAACCAAAGAGAGACAGGATTATGAAGTACAAGAGTTGGAAAAAAAAGGGGCTAACGTGGAAGGCTAGAAGACGATAGAGGGATTTACAGAAAGTGATGAGAGCGCGGAGATGAGCAAAGAGATGCAAGTTTTTGAGAGGAGAGCAAACAAGACGATTCACTTTTTGAAGAAGTGGAAGAAGATGGCGGGTGTTACTAAAAGTAACAAGAGCAGCCAGATGAGATGATAGATGACGCATGTTTTTTAATGGAGACCAAGGGAGAAGATTATTCATGTTTCTGAAGAAGGTGGTGGGCGTAGAACGCTAAGAAGGAAGGGAATGAAACTGGGTTTTTGATGGGGGGAGGCAGAGCAGTAGGAGGTTGCAGCGAAACCGGGGTGGATTGAGAAAGGGAATGAATAGGAGAATTGGGTGTGTATGATTGAGAATGCAACAGAAGGCAGAGTGGGGCATGGTTAGAAGCTTGACCTCTTCCCGGTTGCGTTCAGCTTTAAATTCACATATTGATCACACCGTACCCCATGTGGATATGTGGGAGTGAAATAACGATGGGACAGGAGTGTGAGGTATGTCTGATATTTGATGGAGTAGGACAACGGATTGCAAATACATGTGGTGGTTATAGAGGCGGCCAAATCAGCACCATCCACGAGGAAGCATCCTCTATCCTCATCTCATGGATGCCAGGGTTAGTAAGCTCATCACTATGATCAGCTTAAGCTTTTCCTTTCACCCCCTGGGATTTCGTTTTCCTCTCAGGTTTTCATCCATCCCTTCCTGACTTAGCTTTATGCCTGCTGACTTCTGCCTTCTTTCACGCGTTTTGTAATTCTCCGCCTCAACTTTCGCAAGAATATCGATCTCTTCCTTGACTTTGAGAGATCGAACAATTCCACAATTATATTTCCTCTGCATACAACTTCTTTCTGCGGAATGATCTACCTATGTATGCTTTATTCCGTCATGTTTTTGAGCCCGAATCGGTGCCATGTCGCGTGCAGGTTTATTGTGACAATACAATTGAATTGGTTGGCATGGATGGCGAATATAATCATGCACTTTTTATATATGGTTCTCATTAGATGCACTCTTTGTTTTCTGTATTTACCATATTACGCTGGGTGATTATACGTATGTGTGTTCAGTGGTTGTTTAGGTTCGTCATTCTTTGCCATCTTCCACTATTACTTTCCTGTATGTTGATGACATTATACTGATGCAATCCCAGTAAAGCATGATTTGTATGATCCGTATGTATTGATCTATCTTCCTCTATTATGATTTGTTAATCAATCCTCCCAAAATCCCACTTCCTCAATTATCCCCCCCACCTCAATCAATCGTCGTGTGTGTCCGTTTGTTCTACATCATTTGCTTTCTACTTTTGTCTTTTTCTATGTGGGATTGCTCATCCCGCTCCTATTTGGAGCACTAGCCAAGCCAGCAACCGACCGACGCTCTCACTGGTGTCTTGTGTTTTTGGTCACTAGCTAGCCGATATCAAAAACATTTGGAACTTATGAATCCTGTCTCCATCACGTATCCAGGCTAATTAGTATTAATAAAAACAAACCTAAGAAATACTACCTCCTCCAATCATTTATTTGTCAGAGATGTATGTCTTCTTAAATTATCTTTTTTAATCATTTGTATTAGATCATTAAAATTATTTCTTGGTGACAATTCACCACAATCAGTGAGGATCTGTTATAGCAAGTTCTCTCTTCTGCCCTACGCCCCAGCCATGCAGATAATATCTCTGCCTACTTATTCTTATCTATTTGAATTGCCTCCTCCCCATCTCAAAAAGGTATACGATATGGTAACATACAATAGTAACGTAAATGAAGCGATTTTGTTACACTATTAGTAGATATTGATCAGAGGCATAATAGCTATAATTATCGTAAATCTATAAATTAATCATTAAAATGTTAGATCGTGCGCACACATAGATGATCGATAATATTGCGCATGTGATGTTTCCACTTTCTACATCCTATTTTGTGGCTTCTGTCTATTTTCATGTGCTTTGTGGACTGCCTCTGATAACGTGTTTGCCGTTTGGTATTCCTTCCATTCAACCTTTTTCCGTAAAATTTTATTGTTCTCATAAACGATATCCCTATTTAGTATTATCAAAAAATCTAAATTCAACTTGCGTTACGTTTAAATTAATTAAAGGAAAGTTTTCTAATATTATTTTTTTATTAACAATGTTTGAATTGTGATATCGTCTAAAAAACTATATCGACCAATCAATTAATCTCTCATTATATTAAATTCCTAAGCCATATTTACACGCATATGTTTGAAATAACATTAATTATTTTAACCATTTTATGTATTCAAACATTAAAAAATTACAAACTACATAAGGTTACATAACTAAATTTTTTTTTAAAAAAATGATAAATGATAAAGTTTAAAATATGCTCATTAAAATTATTTTTTAACCTGCATGATTTTAAAGATAGTTTTTGTTGCTAAAAAAGTCTACTTTAGTGGAAAGCATGTAATTTAACGGCCAACTAATAGTGAACTAGATAGGTAGATAATGAAATCTTAAAGATAGATAGAAGATATGTATTACTTTTTCGGTCCTAAATATAAAACCCCTTTCGTAGTGTAAAATTCTTGTCCTAAATACAAGACCCGTTTTGTAGTGTAATTTACACTATGAAAGGGGTCTTATATTTAATATCAGAGGAGTATATAAATTGTGATTTCATAAGGGGTTTATGGATTTTGAAAACAGAAGCCAAGGGATGTTTGTAGGTGTAAAGTAAGATAAAATAGAAAGAATGCCGATGCATTTTACTCTTATTATTCTTGATGATGAAGTTTTAGAGTATAGTTATATGCACAACAGCACAAGGGAAATCAGGATATTAATAACAGAATGCTTCTTTTTTTTTTTTTTTTTATCTGGCGTCCCCAAACAATTCATTTAATTCTGAATATGAAGCGATATATATAAAAACATATAAGAGGCAGAGTGATTAAGGCAGGCTTGTGCATTTGTTGAGTGATACAGACACCAATAGGAACCGCATTTTTGTAATAATTTGTGAATGTCTGTAGTGCCGAGTTCATGACGAGAATCGGAGAGGATGTGTTGGATGCGGCTGCAGGTACATAGAGACCAATATGTAGGCGAAGCTGCGTGGATTCCTCACGTACGTACCTGCCTCTCCACCCCCTCACTCCCGACTAGGCCTGCCCTGCCCCCATCTCACCAGCCATTGCAAATTTGAAACTATTCTCATTTTGCCACACAAGCCCCAACAAATCCAAACGCTCACCCCAACTCCACACTAATGTCCCTTTACCTCCAATTCTTTGTGAATGAATCAACAGCATCCTCCTTCTGCCATGCATCTGCCCACTGCGACCTTACTCATCACTCATTCCCTAATGCCCGAAACTCTCCAATTAGGCCCAAGACCACGAGAATCCAGTCGACCAACCCCAAAACAACAACCAACAGCCAACAACATATCCGTAACACGTTGGTGAAACACGATCAATCGCGGATATTGACTATATACCTGCACCTTTAATTTAAACCTCAAAATGTTACTAGTACTTTTTTCAAACGAACAAGAGACGTGATTCAGCAGCAAAATAGAAAGTGGGGTGATGACAGTCCATATACAGGAGTCCTAATGAGCACCGAATGGGAACCCACCAAATGGCGAAAGAATCCTCGTATGCCCCCGAAGATAGATTATTACGAGCTATACTTGGCATTCAAGTATCCACATCAAAGGAAACTTGCCTAAAACTACTTATAGGTGATAGGGGTCGAGTTATTAATGTGAGATGGATTCATAACCTTTACCACGCCACTCTGACAGAGGAGCCTACTTATCATTGATGCTATTCATTGTTCTTCCACTCCCATCTTTTTTTTCTTCTTTTTTTTTTTTAAATGTTTACGGATTCTACCATTGTTATCATATGTTACTTTCTTTATTTTTCAATTATTCCATGTTTAAACCTCCAATTCGATTTCATTTTCCTACAATCTGTTTGTGGGTTTAGAGATGAAGAGAAGACTTAGTCCTAGACATGATCAGAATCAATTGGATGAGTGCAAGTTTATTCCATGAGGGGAATAATCCTCAACCCTAATGCTTTCATTAATTAGAAGAAGCTCCCCATTAGTACCTTGCTTTTTGCTCAAGGGAAATTGCAATACTATTCTTGCTTTATTGCAATACTGTTTAGTTTAATTGAAAGCGAAATGTACCTTCCCTCTTGAGTTCTTTTTTTGACCAGCCCTTCCTCAGTATTTCAGGTTCTTTCTTTATTGCTGCTAACGATTCCGTGCACTTGCCGGACGGATCAACTTTCGTAAAACTTCCTCTCATTACATTTTCTTTATACACAAAAAACATTTAAAATCACATTCCCTTTCATTTACTGCCGGTGCAACGCATGTGTTAATTTTTCTAAAATGTTCTCCTTAATTATTTATATTGAATCTTCTTTCAATTTAAATAAAATAATCAATACAAATAATTTTTTCAAAAAAAATATAAATTTAAAAAATAAATTGGATTGAAATCTTATTCTTAAGAGCAAAGTAAATTTTAATCCGTTCAGGGGGGAGTATATTTCAAAATAATAATAATAATAAGGGATAATTAATTTGTAAATCCTTGTAGTTTTAACTAATTTTGAATTAGGTCCTTATAGTTTTTTTCTTTTTTATCATACCATTATACTTTCACCTATTTTTAATTAAGTCCTTATATTTATTTTTATTTTTATGAAGTTCTTATAAATTCACCTTATTTTTAATTAAATCCTTGAACTTTTTATTCTTTATTTTATAAATTCTAATAATACTATTCTATTAAACATAAAATAATATATATTATTTAATATTAGTTTATGAACTATAATATTCTAAAAATAATGAATTATTATAATAATTTTAACTTTTGCCAGCAAGAAAATATTAATTGCTCTAAAAAAATTTCCTGAATTAATTAATTATATTACTTATTTTTTATTATATGCTTGTTAATTTAATTTCATTATCAATATTTTATATTTCAGTATTAATCTATTTAATTAAGTTTATATTTAATTAATAAATAAAGATTAAAACTATATAGACCTGATTAAAAATTTAGTGAAATTATAAGGATTTGATAAAAAGAAAAATAATTACAAGGACCTAATTAAAAACTGATAAAAGTATAAGGATTTGATAAAAAAAATTATAAAAACCTGATTCAAAATTAATTCAAACTATAAAAACTTGCATATTAATTAACTCTAATAATAATAATAATAAGCTAGGGAGCGAAACCCAGTTGAGTTATTTTAGGCGAAGAGTCAGGGCCCTTACCTCTCGCCCTTAAAGTTGGTTTACCACTTGACTGACTCCATCTGCCTGGAAGCCAGCCCTGCCTCTGCCCTCTATTGCTCTGCAACTTCAATGGCGGGTGCGATGAAGAAGGGGGATAGGATTCGTCAGATTGTCCGACTCAAACAGATGTTGATGCGCTGGAGACGTCTCAACCTCGGACGCCGTACCCTCCTCTCCTCGGAATCTCACTCTTGTCCCCTTCGTCGCACTCCCTCTGGCTTTGTTGCCGTCTACATTGGACCCGAAAGCAAGCGTTTCGTCATCCCCACTCGCTTCCTCAACCTCCCCATCTTCCTTGCTCTCCTTAAGCGCGCCGAAGACGAGTTCGGATTTCAGAACCCTGGCGGTTTGGTTCTCCCCTGCGATGTCTCTTTCTTCACCCAAATCACCCATTACCTCCACGCTGACGAAGAGCGCTACGGAAAATTCTCTCTCGACGACTTTCTCAAGCTCGTTTCCGACGTCGCTTCTGATTCTTGCAAGGAAAGTGCCCTTGCTTTCACTCCTCTCCCCCAGAAAGCCCGGGTTTGACTCCTGATTTCCGCTTGCTTTTTCTTCGCCGGCGATATGTAGCGTCCAGCACCAGGATTGTGCTTCTTTTTCTATTCCTTTTTGCCCTTATTCTCCCTGTAGCGTGGGTTTTTGGTTCTAATCATCCTCGAATCCATTCCATAATTTGAGTGAGTTGGATTCAGTGAGATGTTTTTGAGCTTATCTTTCGCCTCTGCAGATTCGGATAATCTGTATGTGGTAAGGTTATACCAAATCTACGTCTTGATGACCACGATCAAATTTTTGTGATCAATGCTTAATGACGTTTCTTGATTTTAGATCTGAGTTTTGGGCCAACCCTTGCGTTTTTGTATGTTATTACTTCTCCATCGTCTTCTGCAATTTTTGAACTATATTTTGCTATTACTATTTACACGTTTGAAATGACCCTTTTAATTGTAATTTATGAGGGAAGTTTTATATGGATTTACATAAATAATTTCAATAACAGCCTTATAATTATCCTCTTTTGACCAAAAAAATCATTTACTTAATTAAGCTGTGGCGTGATTTGCGTATTCTTTCTTTCCTTTTTAAATGGCGTTTTTTGGCATTCAATTTATGCTTATGCCCTCTGGCAAACTTAACTAAGTAGTATATTCTTGATAGTTATCTAGAAAAACGTGTGATTTTTTAAATTTTATTCTTTAGTAAAATTCATGATCACAATAAAGTGTGGGTATAATTAAAAAGAAGCAGTATTTTCAAAATGTAATTACTAGATATTTAAAATTAGCTGGCAAATAATTTATATTTACAATTAAATGCGACTTTAAAATTTTCAGGAGTAGTACTATTGGCAATTCAAATTATTGTGTTTTCTCATCTGGGCCAATGTTATTAAAACATTCGCAGTTTAGCAGAATGGAGATCATTTTTTATGTCCGAACCCAATCAGAAAAGAAAAGAAAAGAAATTAGACCCCTGGTGCAATCTGAGTCCTCTGCATTCAGTTAAGGCTTCAAAAGATTTTGACCGATGTACAGGCGCCCGTTGAGTCAATTGATGTTTTCGATGCAAAGGGAATCTCGTGCTTCTGTTGTGCATTCCGAGGGCGGAATGGATGTTCCCCGTATTTCAGTTTTTATTATTTCTTCATTTCCACACATAAAATCCATACCCTTCTAATTCTTAATATAAAATCTACTTAATTAATTTGATTAGATTAAAAAATTTAGATAAATTAGTTGACTATAAAAAATATAACATATTTTTTCTAAAACACCATAATCATTTTTAATATCTTCTCTTCTTCTTCTACTTGATTATAGTTGAAAGAAATCTATATAGATAATTTAAAAAAATTGATAAATTAGATTAAAATCAACTCAATAATTATATCCTATATAAATAATCGCATCCTTTTTTTATCCTGCCATATTCCGTAGAATGGAGTTTGCCTCCCATGTCTTGTTTATCGGCGAGCATTTTAAATTTGGGATATCTTTGGTACCAAGTTGGGGTAAATTGCGGTGGCAAACAAAAAATAATAATAAGTTAACGTAAATTGCACAAGCTATTTTTAATACATTTGAATATCTCCAATTTTTAATATAAGACTAATTTTAATACAACAACAACAAGCTTTATCCCACTAGGTGGGGTCAGCTACATGAATCACACGACACTATCGTGCTCTGTCAACAACCCAATCCTTAGATATGTTGTTAACTAGGAGGTCTCGTTCAATGACCTTATTCAACGTTCTTCTCGGCCTTCCCCTGCCTTTTTTTATGGAACTCCATCTTGTTTGATCCACCCTCCTCACCGGGGCCTCCAGAGGCCTTCTCTGCACATGTCCAAACCATCTTAAACGATTTTCAACCATTTTCTCTTGGATAGGTGCCACACTAACTCTTGTCCTGATCTTTTCATTTCGAATCCTATCTTTTCTTGTATGACTACACATCTATCTCAACATCCTCATTTCTGCTACTCCGACTTTGTGCTCTTGTTTTCCCTTTATTGCCCAACATTCACTACCATACATCATAGCTGGTCTTATAGTAGTCCGATAAAATTTTCCTTTAAATTTCTCAAGTACCTTCTTATCGCAAATAACTCCGGTAGCTTTCCTCCACTTTAACCAGTCAGCTTGTATTCTATGAGAAATGTCTCCATCAATTTCCCCATCCTCCTGTATAATGGGTCCTAGGTATTTAAATTTTGATACTTGAGGAATAATTTGCTCTCCCATCCTCACCTCCAAATCCCCATTACCTTGCCTCCCTCCAAAATCACAATGCATATATTCTGTTTTGTTCCTGCTCAAACGGAAACCTTTCGACTCCAAAGTCCTTCTCCATGACTCCAAACTAGTGTTAATCTCTTCTTTTGATTCCGCCATAAGGACTATATCATCCGCGAAGAGCATGGACTTAGGGATTCTTTCTTGAATAGGTTCAGTTAGAACATCCAGAATAATGTTGAACAAGTACGGACTCAGAGAGGATCCCTGATGTAGGCCAATCTTAATAGGGAAGTCCTTTGTCTCCCCCCAGGCGTCCTTACACTGGTAGTTACCACCTCATACATATCTTGTATGGCTTTGATATAAGCAACCCGTACACCTTTCTTTTCTAAAGCCTCCCACAATACTTCTCTTGGCACACGATCATAAGCTTTTTTCAAATCAATAAAAACCATATGTAAATATCTTCTTTTACTTCTATATCTCTCCATTAACCCCCTTAGTAAATAGATTGCTTCCGAAGTGGATCTCCCTGGCATAAATCCAAATTGGTTTTTCGAAATAGAAGTTTCCAACCTCAACCTATATTCCATCACTTTTTCCCACAACTTCATTGTATGACTCATAAGTTTTATCCCTCTGTAGCTTGCACAGTTTTAAATGTCTCCTTTATTCTTGTAAATAAGAACTAAAATGCTTCTCCTCTAATCATCCGGCATATTTTTAGAGCGTAGAATTTCATTAAAAAGCTTGGTTAGCCACACCTCCCCCTCATCGCCCAAACATTTCCAAACTTCAATAGGGATACCATTAGGCCCAACGGCTTTTCCATTGTCCATTTTCTTGAGAGTCGCCTTAACCTCTCCGATACGTATCTTGCGGTAGAAAGCCAAATTCCGATCATCTTCGTTAATTAACAAGTCCTGCAAGTCCTGAGTCGTATAATTGCTTTCCTCATTAAACAACTTGTAAAAGTAAGCCTCCCATCTGTCCTTAATATCACCATCAGTAACCAACACTTTACCATCTTCATCCTTTATACACTTTACTTGGTCCAGATCTCTCTTTTTCCTCTCCTTTTGCTTCGCGATCTTGTAAATATTTCTTTCTCCCGTCTTTGTTCCTAACTCCTAATAAAACCCTTCATAAGCTTTAGTACGTGCTTCGCTCACTGCTCTCTTTGTCTCTTTTTTAGCCAACTGATACTTTTCCTGGTTCTCTACGCTATTGCACAAGTGTATGGCCTTAAAACAATCTCTTTTCTGTTTGACTTTCTCCTGCACACTCTTATTCCACCACCAAGTCTCCTTATCTCTTTGACCAAGACCTTTGGATTCTCCCAAAATTGCTTTAGCTACCAAATGAACCCTTGTAGCTATCTCTTTCCACATCATGTTTGCGTTTCCCTATAACTCCCAAATTCCTTCCTTCAAAAGAGTCCTTTTGAATAACTCCGGCTTTTCCCCTTTTAACTGCCACCACTTAATCCTAGGTTTTGCCACTTGATGGTACTTTTCCCTGGTACTCTTAAAACGCACATCAAGGATAAGTACTCTATGTTGAGTAGTCACCCCGTCTCCTGGAATCACTTTGCAATTAATACACAATCTTCTGTCTAGATTCTTAACCAAAAAGAAATCAATCTGTGATTTCGAGACACCACTTTTGTACGTGATTAAATGCTCCTCTCGCTTCTTAAAACAAGTGTTGACAATCTTAAGATCGTATGCAAGAGAAAAATCGAGAATAGATTGTCCTCCACTATTAAGCTCCCCAAAACCAAAACCACCATGGGCCCCGCTGAATTGTCCTGCTTCCTTATCAACATGTCCATTAAGGTCCCCACCGATAAAATTTTTTTCTTCAAGTGGTATGCTTTGAACCAAACCCTCCATATCTTCCCAAAATTTATCTTTAAGATGTATCTCTGCCCCAACCTGAGGTGCATAGGCACTAATGATATTGATAGTATCCTTCCCAACAATTACTCTTAACGATATTATTCTGTCCTCAAACCTTTTAACCTCTACCACATTCTTTTTCCGTGTCCCATCAACGATGATACCAACCCCATTCCTTACGCTCACCTTTTCTGTGTACCAAAGTTTATACTCTCCAAGTTCCTTGGCAGCTTCTCCAGTCCATTTGGTTTTTTGGAGGCATAAGATATTAATCCTTCTGTCTCTCATAACTCCTGCTACTTCCATAGATTTCTCATTCAACGTCCCAATATTCTAAGTGCCAAATCTAATCTCAGTCTCATGAACTAACTTCTTTAGTCGCCTCCGTCCAAGAGAGTGCGATAGCCCTTGCTCATTTAACACTACATCCGGGCGACGATGCAGCAGCTCTAGCTCATTTCTCACTGTACTCGAGCCATACAACGCATCACTTCTGGGCAACGACCTAGCATTAGCATAATTACTTCGTTGATCCATGTTCATGAGATTCGACGGGTTTTTACGTTGGCTGTTAAGGGCCTAACACAACCCTCCTCATTTATCCGGGCTTGGGACCGGCTATACAATATAGGCGGAGTTATAAGACTAATTTGAATAGATTAAAAAAAATAGTTTAGTTAGTTATTTGTAATAAATAGATATTGTTTTTCTTAAAATATATTTGCTAATCATATATATTTGTCAGAATTACCATTTTGTGAAACATTTAACATGTGTAGCGATAATAGAGACTACCTGGGAAATAAATAAATACATATGAGAAATAAAATAAATTGAAATCTTATATTTAAAATCAAATTAAAAGTCAGAAAAAAATGGACGTTATAATAAGAGACGGGGACTATTATCTAAACGGGGGAGTCATTGCAGCCGAATGACCAGAATGGACGAACTGATTCTGGCAACACTGATAAGAGTTATTGCGGTAAAAACCACTCGACAACAGTGCGATCCTTTTCGTCACTGGGCTAGATCATATTATCATTTTTTTTTTTGATTTTGGTAAACTGAAAAGCCCGTATTTTAGAAATCATTTTATTACTTTGCGCCGGACAAACAATGGTCATGACTCATGCGATCAGGCGTTGGCCCATGTAGACGCAGCGGAGTGAAATGGGCGGGAAAGAGGTCAAGTCTCTCTCCCTTCATTTCGCGTGTCAGTTACGATAGGGTAGTTTGTGATGTTTTACTCCGTAGAATCAATAACGACAAATTAATAATAAATAACACCAAATTCAACTTTTATCCGTCAGCCAGCAATCATGAGTTCTTGACCATGGACTCTAGTTCACGTTTATAATCACCACTCTTCCCTTCTTCATCGTCGCCTCCTCATTCGTCCATTTGTCAAGCAACCTGCCATCAACTCCATTCTTGCCTTCATTGATTCAACTTCCTTCCTACCTTGCTTTGTTTTAACCCTCTTCTTGTCCTCTTTTTCTAAGGCTCAGTTTTTTTAAAATTACCCCCCCCAAAAAAAAAGGTATTTTAGTTGGCGAGTAAGGAAGATCTGGGGGAAAATCTTAAGGTAAATACGAGAATGAGTGAGAATTACTAGTCATTTTTTTTAAGTCTTATTTACTAAACTAAAAATGCATTATTTTCTCAGCTCCCCTCGACTTTCTCATCTAGAATAGTTTTTTCCCCCCTTCAAATTTTAAACAAGCTGTCCCTAATAAATCTATTGAATTAGTTAGAAGCTTTTAAACATCAGGCGTGCACTTGAATTGGATTGCTTTCTCATCCAATTGATATCCAACAATTCAGATCAATTCTTAATGTTAGAAGAATTAACTCTCGTTAAGTTGGGTACGAAGAATTCGATTTCCTCAAGTGAAGTTGAATATTCAAACTTTATGAACAGGGAAAAAAATTACATTCTAAAGATTATTTCTAATTAGATAAAACAAGATTTGGTCCCCCAAAAAAAAAAAATAACGAGATTCGAAACTAATTCCATAGTACATAATAATATCATTGATTATATCAAACGAGCGACAAGGGAAAGGAGGAAGACGTACTCCAAAGGAAAAATGATGCTCTGAGATATTTTTAGGGGACATTTAGATAAAAATCAAACCATAATTTTAAAAGTGTTTTTACGGTTTACAAAATAAATATGTGGAGCAGTTTGTCTCGTTTTACAAAAAAATACTTCTGAGAATCACTTTTTAATGTTACCAAACACCTTTTTAACAAGAGACCCCAATAATATCATTGATTATATCAATTAAAAGCATAGGTCTTTTATTAATCTTAATATTTGTTGTGAATCAACATTCCCGTGCTGAGCCAAAAACGTATATTAAAGACTTTTTAAAAATAGGATATGAAAGTTTGTGATGGCAAAAATAACAAAAAAGAAGAATGTTTTGTTTTGTTTTTTAAAAAAAAATCAGTTCATATCTCAAAATATTAATTTTAAAAATAAAAATAATAATTTAAAAATCAAAGTCATTGATAGGTCTCATTTTCAAATAATTTTTACAGTAAATATGACTACGTCAAAGACCTATTTCCTCAGCTTTGGAATTTTTTTTTTTGACAAAAAAGGGGAAAGAAAATAAAAGAAAAGAAGAAAAAACTGCGGCGGCAGAAGTGGCGCGGGGGAGGATCTGCGGCTGCGCTCAGCGAGCCGAGGGGGATTCTTTTGGGCCAAAGAACAGTGGGGATTGGCATGGTAGATAGTAACAGCATCGGTCTGAGGATTAAGTCGAAACATCTATGATATATGCATCATGCTATCAGCTGACTAAAGTGGCATCTGCTCTCTCTTACAACCTCATTCTCTGGATATACATCCCACTCCCACTCTCATCTTCCCATGAATCTCTGAGCTCTTCCAATCTCCATGGCTCTCCCTCACTCTGCTCTTTCCTTCCTCATCAATGCCTTCCCTCCCTACCTCTTCCCTCCCCATTCCCACTTTCCCTCCGCATTCCATTTCTCAATCCCCACCCGCCCCTGCTTTCCCTCCCGTCTTTCCCTCCCTGCTTCCGCCCCCAGGAGTTTCGTCGTCAATGCCACAGAGGCTGCTGCTGCTGATAAGCAGCCCCTCTCCAGTCGGTTCCACATATCCACAGGATACCCTTTGCCGTTTGGAGCCACTCTCCGTGACGGTGGTGTTAATTTTGCCATTTATTCTGGCAATGCAACCTCCGCCACTCTCTGTTTGATCACTCTCTCTGATTTGCACCATGTCTGTTCATCACTCCTCTCTACTCTTCTCCCCTCTATCCTTCTTACTATTTTCTTTTTATTTTCATTTTTTCAGCTTTCGTCTTCTCTGAAGAGAAAAACATATAGATATCGTGGCTAGGACCAATCTCTTGCTTTCATTTAACTATTAACATATCACATTAGTATAGTAACTTCAGAGACGGCTGATTTCTATTAGAACGTACTTGTATTAATGGTTGAATGTATTTGTTACAGAATAGAGTAACGGAGCACATTCCTCTCGATCCGTTGATCAATAAGACTGGGGATGTCTGGCATGTATTTCTGAAAGGCGATTTCGAAGATATGCTATATGGCTACAAACTTGATGGAAGGTTTTTTCCTGAAGAAGGACACTACTACGATTCTTCTCGTATATTATTAGATCCTTATGCAAAAGTTAGTGGGCCAGCACTCTTCTTCTAAGGCTGTGTTTGTAATATAATAAGCAAGACTAATTTCAAATTTTTACGTCTTCTTTTTACTATTGTATTGCTGTATGCTCTAATATAACTCTCACTTGTCTAGGCAGTTATAAGCAGAGGAGGGTTTGGTGCTTTAGGGCCTGACGGTAACTGCTGGCCTCAGATGGCTGGCATGATTCCTTCTTCGGATGAGGTACTCTATTCTTTTTTTTTTTTTTTTGGGGGGGGGGGGGGAGACTTCGATGCATATCTGTGTGTTTCTATGTATGTCGGACTATTTTTCCTTTAACTTTTTGAATGCTACATTTTAACTTCAAATTGTTTCATGTGATCTCAATGAGTAAATTTCCAACTTTCCCTGATCAAGGGTTCATTTAGTCTACTGCAAATAGAATGGAGTAATGCTT